GGTTCAACCCCATCAGACATGTTATTCAGAGGATATGAGTGCTTTGAGATGTGCCCCTTTTGTCAAGTGATGTGATGAGCTTTTCATCAAATTGAGCTAGTGTTCGTATAAACACAACAGTTTCGCACTACCTGCAAAGTTTCAAGCCAGTCAGACATGTAGGATACAGGGCTTTAAAGTATACGCCTCTAATGTCACCCGACTGATAACGTCATCGTGACATGAGGTCAGTTTTCGTCTGTAACATATCCCTTTTGCGATGTTTGCAAAGTCTTAGGGCCTAATGCAACTTGACAAGTTTTCAGAAAATATATGGGCCTTTAAAGGAAGCACCTTTCATGTCAAGTGATTTGTCAACTGATGACGTCCTCATGACATGATGTCAATTTCGTCCTCAACACTTCCCTATCCAGCAATTTGCAAAATTTCAACCCAGTGGGACATGTATTTAAGGAGATACATGCATAGAGCTTTGAAGTTTTCACCTTAAATGCCAACCAAGCCCAATGAGTGACTGTGCATGTTTAATTGAAATCACCTCAACACTAAATAAATGAATAGGATTTGTGTATAATGAGGTCATCATAATTCATCTGAGTGCAATACACACCTTGGCACAAGATGATATCCATGTTCAATTATAATTTGATGAAAAAAAATGAAAAATGGTCACTTCAAAAGCAATAAGGTAATATAAGAAAGATCTGCAAGGAAAACTTGAAGAAAACTTAAGTCCCCCAAATCCTTTTAAAAAACAAGCAAATCTACGGTTATTACATTATCGGCCAGCGTGTTATTACATTATCGGCTGGTTTTGTGTTATTACATTATTGGCTGGCTTTTATTACATTATGGGTCGCTTGGGTGGTTACATTGTCGGTCAATTGTTATTACATTATCGGCCAATTTTATTACATTATCGGCTGGTATTACATTATTGACCGATTGTTACATTATCGGCCGTAACAAGAAATGTGATACCTTCATTCTTGTGCACGGTATACATGTATTTAGCAGTGGTCAGCGCCGTTTTACGTCCGCGAGAAAATGTAATCCGATTTTCTTGACGATGTGATCAATGAAGGGCCTTTTTCCACTGGATTCATTGAACGTTTAAGAACGGTCAAAGTTAGAATGTGTACACAGACGATTGTCATTTTTTTTTCTTCTGTTTGATTTAATTTTATGATGTATCGCGTGAAACAACTCCATGTTATTGTATCATTCATACACTTGCAAAACGGGAGTTTACACGTGTGCTCTGTAGGTTGTGACCCACACAAACGACTCCGTAGCTCAAAGATTTCGACTGACTCCATTTGTGCGCCGATTTTGGTGATCAAAACAGGAAAATATGGTTTCATAACTGGACAAAATAAAATGCAATAGTTTCTAAACTTTATGAAATTTAACATGAGCTGAGGAAGCTACAGGCAAACCCCACACGCCGCTCAGTAAGCGATGGTTATTGGCCAGGTTGCGACTTTGTACTTGACTCGTAAAAAATAAGGGAGACAACTCTAGCTGATATGAGATCCTCGAAAGCCTGGTTTGACTTCAGCAGCCTGAACTCGCGTTTTCTGGTAAATGGGAATTCACGGTATGTCATCTGTCCGTGATGCTCTCTCTGATTTTAGTCAGAATAGAAACCACAACAGTAGTCAGAACGTTACGCCTTTCAAGGTCATGTCCAAGTCTTATTTCACACAGCTAGGCCATTACGCCATCGATACGAAATAGGCCTTTTTCTGGGCGATGCACAGCACGCATGCAGTTCATTAATTCCACCTTGGTATCGATATCGGCTGAGGAGTGGAAATACATGTGAAGTTATACCGTTCAAAGCAGTCGAATGGGTTATAGGCCTACAACAACAGCTTGGAAACTAGTACAACGTTAAAAGGGGGGAACTACATCTCACAGTGATATTCCTTACACACGGGATAATGACGTGGGGAAGGGAGAATTTACCCCCCTACAGCCCAAAATGCTCAAGTACCTTTTCCTGCGGTGGCGCCACAGGGGAGTTGGATGCACAGTGATATCGGTGCCAGTAGTTTAAGATGTAGGTGTATTCACTGTTTTCTCGTCTTCCAAAAAATTTAAAAAGACAACTTTGAGGGTGGAACCCAAGAACCCCCGACCACCTCCCTCAATGTATCACTGCACGTATACAGCCACTCTTCACTGTGTGAAACGTGTTGCTGCAAAAACTTGTCCATTTAATTCTACTCGGGCTTTTTGGCTCATTTTAGAGAAATTTCATTCACATTTTGTAACAAAATGTGGCAGAAGCTCATTAGTAACTGCATACCTTGATGAATAATTATTTGACCTATAAGCTATGAAGGCACACGCAGTTGTTTTCAGTGACATCAAATTTATTGACTTCGTCAAAAGCGAGTTACAAGAACCATACATGTACCCCGTGGATCCCGTAACACCATTGCTGCCAGAATCCAAATGCGTGAATACGAAACCAAATTACCAACCTGGCACTGACTTTTGACATGTAATTATCCTGCAGCTCAAGGTAACAACAGGGGGTTGATAGTCAGGTGCAACGAGATCGAGCAATGACGGCAACCGAGACGGAGAGTAACGCCGGTGAGGTTGTGACCGACCGGAGGAGCTCCATCAGCGAGGGACTCGAGGACCCAGAGCTCACTAAGAAAAAAGAGGCCAAGCTGAGGCGAGAGAGGTGTCAGAAGTGGGTGCTGCTGGCCGTCGCCACAGCCCTGGTGCTGACAACAATCACTGTGATCCTCTACTTTGGCATTAATAACCCTGGTCCTCTGCCTGATGATGAGAACACAGGCGGTGAGACAAACTCGACCATGATAGCTCCGTAATCATCGTCATCGCGTAGCCATGCTGTGACCGGTTTGACCATCTTACCTGAGGGTGTGCCCCATTTTGTCCGCACCACCCTTACAGGGCGATGCAGGACTATTTCAGAATGTATAATGTAGTCCCTGTCGACCAATCTTCGCTCTCTCTGTCGAGAGGTGTTTTATTCTCGTGGCCCATAACCGTCAAAGCGATACCCAGGACAAGTTTAATGGGGCGAACCCCCGCCCCCGCAGAACCAGGTTACGTCATCAGACACAAAGTGGCAAGGATGTGGTACCTAACAACTTCATTTATACTCAATAGTTGTATTAAGTACGTTTTCTTAATCGCCACTGCGACTCTCTTTTCTACATTCTAGAAGGGAACCGTTTTAATGCGAGGCAGGAAAACAACAAATTTCAAATACATAAGTTACTGTAGAGATGACTAAAATGTCGGGTTATTTTCAGCACTTTTGAACCGAAAATAGCGGAAATAACCAGACATTTTAGTCGTCTCAAAAATAAGTGAATTATATAGGCTTATCCCATGGTTATGGCTGTGGCTGCGGCAGAGATTATAACACGTGTCTATGGGGAAAAGCTACAGCCGCTAGGCAGTGGTCTCCATTCAAGCGTGTTTTATTTCCGACGACATGAGCCATTTGATTTAGACTTATTGTAAGGCTTTTCCGTGGAACCACAAGAAACGTCGGACAATCCATGTGCAAATCGATCCAGTCCATCGGAAATTCTGCAAGAACTTTAATCTCATCTCCGAACGTTTCTCTTACAACTGGACATCCAACGTCTTTTTCGATGACAGGTTTTGTCCACGCTTGGAAACATGCAATGCACCAACATTTTTCTAGTTGTCTGTCAGTGCACTTCACCTGCTTTAATGTTTTCAGTATTTGTAATCCATCCAATGGATTTGTAATCCATTGTAAACAATCCATTTAATTCTGATCTTGTTACTGCTTTAATTTCCAATTTAGTGATTCCAATGACAAAATACTGTTACCGTATAATTATCTAAACCATGCCATAATACATTGTTTATTTGCCCTCAATTTTCGAACTTTGTTTTTGTGTTGGGTTTATCCGCTTATTTTTGAAAGACGACGAATAAAATGAATTTTTAGAACAAAATGAGGGATTGTGCACGTACTTCGATCTTGAAAAAATTGGAAGATAACGTTTTTCCAGTCTTCCCATTAATAAGTAATTATTACTTTCTAACGCCATTTGGTGATAATTATACCCAAACAAAATGGGTCACACCACCTGATGTTGTGATTCAAATGTATACACGTATTCACCACACTTTGTTTATTATTCAAATCCACTGATACGTTTTTCAGTAATTCCCTATGTGACACACATTTTACCAAAATATAGCTCGACGTGTATGTTTATCTCTTATCCGAGATTTTACCTAAGGTGTCATCTTCTTTGGGAAGGGTATATAAATTCCAGGACAATTTGCCTCTGTAAAACGGAAGATCCTAGGACTATGGAAATACATGATTTTAAAGTCACAGAATCATGCAGGAATATTTTTGGACTAGAGAGAACTATCATCTAAGATCTGTGAGGAAAAGGGTCGAACTGAAACGTGCATGATACTCCTGGTAGTTTCATTCCATCAATCCCACCGAAATAAAAATAACAACCTGATCTCTCACGATTATGGACCTAATGGTACAAAACAGTTATCCATGCCGTCATTACACGGAATTAACCCCGTTGTAAATTTTTGTATATGCTAGCTAACACCTCACCGTCAAGTAATTAGGCCTAAATTATTTGTGACAAAAATTCATATGATTTATACAGTTTGAATTGTGTTTCAGCTATCTTGTCAATATCATTTGCCTGAAATGTGAATCTATAAACGTGTTGCGAAAATGTTCTTGGAAGCTAAACTGGTTTCGATGAAGAACTAACATACCTCTGTAGTGGCGCACTTGGAGCGGGGTGGGGATGGGGCTCGAGCCCCATATCTTCGAGGTAGAGGCTGGAGTATCCTGAGCTACTCGGAGGTAATTCTGGTCCGGCCCCGCTCCCTGCTACAAATCCTATATGCGCCACTGTTATTCCTATTAAGTCACAGACTGCTACTGTCTTGTTGAAAACAACCACCACCATTGTTTTGGAGTCCAGAATATGGGGGGCTTCCTGTGACGTGCACCCTGCTGCAAGACACTGCATTATCTACCGTGGATCCCCGAATATACTTCAACGTTTCCACACTACTTGACGAAGTGGCGCCGCCGCAGCGCACCGGCAGCTTGCGAGATGTCAGGGGGGCTGCCCACAGGAGACTTTGCCTGCAACCAGATCAATCATGGACCGCTCACGCCCATCCGTCAATTCCCCCCCTCCGCGTTAATAACGGACGATGGAATCACCTACGACGCATTCACCCTGGACCGCTGGAACCACACGGACCGGCAAGATCCGTTTTACCAGCTAACGCCGGGGAGGGCTGGGGCGCCTTGGGAGAAGGTGGTATCCCTGGGCACTAACATGAAGCAAATAGCATCTGGTCCTGATGGAGCACCCTTAGCAGCCTTCACTGGTGAGTTATCAAACCTGCAGCTACAAAGTCAACCAATGATCGTAACTCCCTCGCCGTTTTTGCGTTACAAAGATAAGCAGCCTCTTCTCTACAGTGAAACATAACAGCACAATTGTAGGCCCTAAGTGTTCTCACGTGATATAAGACTTGTCCTAAAAAATCCTCCTTGGCGACATGACCTCTAATGAGCAAACTGAAATCAAACAGGGAACGGATTTCCTGTGACGACACTAACGTCGGTCGGGAATCTTCGCAGCTCTTGAAGTACGTTGCATTTAAAATGAAGTACAAAAGTCAAGAATGTATGAATTACAGTTTCTTTCAAATTGGCGTTCTATAAAGTCGTGAACGTTCATGAGATTAAGCAAACTCCGCCCTAAAGATCGATGTGACAGAACTTCGCCATCCTATTTCGATAACCTGAATTGCACCAGGCAAAGTTGTAAGGGAAATCTCTAGAGAGCATAGTCGTTAAACTTGTTTTTATTGCAGGGTCGTCAGGAGTTCGTTTAGGGATCGTAAACACCGGAGAACCGGTCCTAACGGACTTTGGGGAGATGTATGCTAACTTCTTGTACACAGATAAGGACGGTGGGACGATGGAGTTACCCATCGTCCGTGGTTCGGCCATGCTGACCCACATCTTTACCAAGGCTAACCCCATGATGTGGCCCTACTGTCTGGTCGCTGTGAACGGTCAGAGTGTGAGGTACGAGTGTCCCGAGGAACGATAAGGTAGGAACCGAACCAATTCCAAGAATACTCCAACAAGTTAGGTAGAGCCGCAAACTACAGCCTTGGATCACAACCACGCGAGCGATTCTTCGGTTAACAAGTGCATACTTCAATCCCCTTGTGTGGCATTTTCGGGTATTCTATATTCTATTCTATACTGAGGCGGTTCAGGCCTATAGACAGCTGTATATGATGGAAGAAACTAGGTTATATTAAACTTTCCGTGAAATCAAGGAACCACCGAAACATTCATCCAGGGATCACTAATGGAAACATGCGGTTATTGGTTGCGCTGGAAACAGTGACGTTTATGGCAATGAGCTGACGACACAGCACATCCGTCAAATATTAACCGAACGGCTCTCAGTTTTTACGCCCCTTCAAGAAAATAGACCTCCACAGTTGTGATTTTTTGGGAAAATGTCCTTTGTTAGGGGCACTTGGGTGCACATGAGAAACGTAGGGTTCTTGATTTGACTTAGACAGCTAAGTTTACACAGAAATGCCATTACATTATTCTTGAATGGTTCAGCTTCAGTCAGGTCGAAACATTTCGACGCCTCAAATCGTGTTCACCAATAAGTGAAAAGACAATACCAATAGTCCAATGGCAATTAACCAAAAATCAGCCTTTTTTTCGTACTGGTCAGTTGCCGACAGAGGAAGTGGGTACGTCCGAGCGTCTTGTAGTTATGTTACCATGGAGCTAATCCTCGAGATCCATTTCACGAAAGCAATCACCAATATTGCCGATGTACAGTGGGCAGCGACCGAAGAGAGCAGGTGAGTTAAAGCTTCTTGTGATTATATCATGTTTATGGATATCGGATATTGCCTCTGGGCGAAATATGACATAAAAGAACCACTCCTCGCTTAAGATTTCAGAAGGATTCCAGGTGGCATTTCTTAGGCTCAGGAAGTAAAATCGCCAAATCGGAACAGATCAGAGCTGCACTTCCAAAACAAATGCTTTTTTGTGTCATTACTGTATATTAAAGTCCCTCTGTTGTGAAGTGAGAATCCACGTATGGCAGTAGCCTACCAATGCAGCCTCTTGATTTTTGGATCCAACGATTTAGAGGGCCAGTGTCAAGTGAGCTTGCAGATGAATCACACAGCAAACCACAACACAAGAGGTTTTTATTTATATGAAGGTGGTCCACTGGCCGGGTAATGCACACCTACAACAGTACCGTCTGCAACATGGGCAGCACCGGCCACATCGTCACTGTCAACGGTCCCAAATGCCCAAGGGACAATGCTGCACGCCGTCAACGTGATCGACTACTACGTGATCCCGAAACACGATTATGGGAACGTCTCTTGGGGCACCACACCAGTGCGGGTCGTCTGTACGGAGCATGGAGGCCGAGTGAGCCTGTCGTCGGGTACAAGGCAACCGTCTTGGTTCTACGGAAGTGCCGCTGTCAACGGGATGTGCAGTCAGGACAGACGGGTTACAATCACCGTGAGTCTCAGTCATCCGGCAGGTGGATTGGAAGAGGTAAAGAACTAAACAAAAAGAGGGGCTCAGTCTAAAGGGGTTAAGACACGTCAGGTGGAAAGAATAGTCAACTTTTCATTACAATTAGGACTACTGTTACATTTGATTCGATAATAACGAAATGAACACTACATTGGCAACTTCAATCTTTTGTAGATCCAATATATCCTGGCGAGAACGAGCTTGTGGGATGGTTCACTTCCCTGGGAGACGTGCTCATCGTCTAACTGTGCACTGTCAGCCGACAGCCAAAGGATAACTATCTCCACCACGGTGACGTACGATGACGTCAGCTTTGCCGTGAACGTGATTGGTCAGGAAGTGACGGAGGCGTTGCCTTTCAATTGGAGACGACAGCCAGAGGGTATGGAGTGCCTGTTAAAACGCAAGTTTCATTATAAACTTAGCTTAATACATACTGCAAACATCAATACCAAAACTAACTTTTGAAAAAGAAAAGGCAAGTTGACTAATTAAGTCACCTAATACGCAAGAATTGAAGATTACATGACTTGGGGCAACGAAATCGAGACATAGTATATGACATCTTTTCTTTCCACATTCTGGGGAAGGTTGGAAACATCTGAATTCAGTGCAACAAACTGGTGTGAGTGACAGTATCCACTGCTCAAAACTGAATATCGGTTTTTGTAAGTATTTGGGCCTTGTGAAGCACTATTTCCAGGGCAGTTGCGCATCCAGGCTTGGCGTCTGGACCAAGTAAACGGCTGATTTTTGTCGTTCTTGAAAACTGTCAAAAGCAGCGTAAAGCGCAGTTTACAAATTAATGCTCTAATTTTTGTCTGAAAAGACAACATTTGCACTCTCATTTCCTCCACTAAGTTCTATCCTATTTTTATTTCCAATGCTTTGTACAAATGCCCAACCCCCTTCCACTTTTGACACACATGTTCCTATTTTTACATCTACACGTATGTGGCAAATTTGATCATCCACATGAATCCAGCGTGGTTGCCTACCCACTCGCAAATTCCTCACCTTCGATACATTTTTCACAGAGGGAAGCGAAAATAAGTTAACCAGAGCCCGATGCACGATGAAACACGCCCCTGAAATCTCCACAGATCCGTTGTGATAGGCAGCCCGTCGTCAACCCCGTTATCGGGCAGAGAGTGAAACTCACCGGCAAATCCTTCGACCTGGAGCTGTCGGCGCCGGGGCAGCACAGCGGAGCTGACCCGAACACCACGCGGAAGTTTGTGGCTTTACTTCTCCGAGGAGATGCGACTGGTGTTCCCGGCGGCCTGTGGCTCGCCAGGAACGTTCAGCTCACTGAGCGGTGGGCAGAGCTTCACTGGCGTCATGCAGCTCGTCTATGCAGGTGAAGATTTCCATGACTTAAGTGACGAAAAGACGACTTTCTGCAATATCGCATTAGTGGAAAAAAGTCTTTCCCCGATATTGTATCTTAGGAAAACTTCTTTCCCTGATATCGAAAAGATGTCTTTTCATTATTTTGTATTTTGGAAAGACTTCTTTTCATGACATCCCATTTTAGATATCCGACATCGGCTAATCGGAGGGATAAATACATATAACCACACACACAAACAATGAATGCAGGGGGATTCATTCGTCAAGTTGTTCTGTTCAAATTAACCATCATCGGCCCAATTGGCCTTTCCTAAAGTGTATCTTAAGCAGCATCAGCACCGAGGAATCGTTTCTTAACATAACTGTTTTTTTTTCACAAGGTACTGGTCCAAAGGGGGACTTTTCCTCCGCAAGGTACCTAGACCAGTACGCTGGCGTGTTCGCCTACAGTCCTCGGGCGAGATTCTGCACCGAGGGAGACAAGGTCTACATCAGCTTCGACTGGAACAAGCAGGGAGGTGATTTCTACGGCCAAAATCTCAAGCAACAGATGCTGACTGTGGTTCTACCACATCAGGTAAAGAAATATAGAAATTAAAGTTGAATATGCCTGCAATGCACCTCAAATATAGGGCATTCACGGTTGTTAGGGGTTGACTAAATAAACACGTCGGTATAGAATTTAAAGTGGTGTGTAAAAAAAATCAGGATCATATGTTTCACAAGCAGGCATATTAGTAAACCCAACCTTACCCAAACCCAACCTACTCTGAAAATTTCCTCAGTTAAATTTTTTACCCAAGTAAGGGTAAAGACGGCCAATAGGTAACAAAATGATAGTTTCTGGTTCCTATCAAAAACGTGGTCAATACCCACAGCTTCAATATGACCCTAGTTGGCTGTTAAATGAATCAGGCCTTAATTCCATTGAAAAACACTTGGTTGACAAAACCCAATTTGGGCAGTTGTAATTTTCTCCTTCACTTTGGTTTAAATTTAAGCCCTCAGGGCAATGTTTCAGTGTAACCAAACCCAACCAGCTCAATCAAACCCAACCGAGGCTGGTCTGACCAGCAGACCAGCTGACCGACCAATTAAACTAAGTAAATCTGAGTGAAGTTAATATACAGGAAGAAAAGTTTGAAGTAAAAGGCACCCTTTTATTACTTGCACTCACATCGACCAATAACGTGTTTAAAAAATGGTCTCTTACAAACTAAAATAATTAATAACGTCCCTGCGTAATGAGCTGTTTCATTGAAACAGTCACCTATTGACTTTTGAGGGTCGTGGCATGCATGGTGTCCTTCCCTCTGCTACTGCTTTTATCCAAATGTTCACACCCACAGATAAAAAAAAAATCCCTTCTATTTCTAAAGGAGTTACTTCTTCCCAAGGAGAACCTAGTGGACACACCCTTTGGGTTCAAAGGTCACGTTGGTGATGTCACAATAATGGAGGAAGATCTTCCCAGGGCGTCTATGGAGCCAGACCCAAAGGCAATCCAGAGAATCAAGGATGACCCCGACAAACTCAAGGTGTAATGGAACCTTTCTTGTTTACGTCTTCTGTGACAATGCAAGTGATCACGTCCATTTCAGTGAAATTACACAGCTAAACCGAGCTACCCAGGAAGTGCATTCTTGGTGTACTTCAGGAGAGAAATGGCACCACAAATCAGGCTACTTTTTAAGGAAAACAATAAGAAACAACAGAAACAAAAGTCCCATTCCATAGAGTGGAACGGAACTTTCAACTGCTGGTTTTTAAAGGTGAAAAACTTACCACCTTAAAATTACTGAAAATCTTGAAATTATCCCCACCACCTCAAAAGTGCTTGTCACACTTAAGCACGGAATATGGTCAGTTGTCTTGATAAAAAGACATTTTCATAACAGTGAAAAGCACTGCATTACCCTTAGAGACTGCTGTGCCAAATACGTACACGTATGAGCACTGTGGCACCTCCCAAATCTTTATATTGCATGTTCATTTGTGCTCTATGGAATAGTAGTATTGGCATCTTGCAATAATGCTACACCCATTTACAAAGACAATGAAACTGTCCCTTCAAGAAGTTTAAGTAAATGTGTTTGCAAAAAGCCCAGACAAAAGTGAATCAAAATGTTAGTATTTAGTATGAAATCCGAACACAGGACCTTAAAGATGCCATGGACAAAGATGCTGCCTACCAAACGCTTGTAGCAGACTGCAGTAACAACAACGAACCACAGAGCTACTGGGCTGGCAAGTCCATTGGGATGGTGGCCAGGCTAGCCAGCATTTCCCGGGCACAGGGCACTAACCATTACCTTGAACTGGACCGGTCCCTGGGGACGTGCCTGGACATGTGGCTGGGGGTTACCGGTGGGCTGACCGAGACCAACTCATTCAGGTACTGAATATGGAATGCCAAAGAGGCATCGACCGATCGTTTCCCTACATCGATCGATCCTTCCCTTCATCGATCGTTCTTCTACATCGATCAATCATTCTTCTACATTGATCGATCGTTCACTACATCGATCGATCCCCTAGATCGATTGATCAATCTCTTTTGATCGATAAGAAAGAGTGATGGAAAAAGAGCGATGACAAAAGTGCGCAACCCCATTTGGTACTGGAAGAGGTTGCATAATGTTGGCATCGATGTAACTGCATCGGTCTTTCTTCATTGGTCTTTCGTCATCGCACTTATGCCATCGCTCTTCAGTTCCATTGCTCTTTCTTCATCAATCAAAAGAGATCAATCAATTGATCGATGTAGGGGAACGATCGATCGATGTCGGGAACGATCGATCAATGTTGAAGAATGTTCAATGTGTTGCCTCCAGGTTTTTGCCTCTTTGGCGTTCCACAACTGAGATGCGGTAGTTGCTTCATAAGTGGTTTGGGGGTTATACCCTGGGAAATTTCTGAAATGACATTCTCTGGTTTTAATCTGATCTGGTGCACAGGGAATAGGCTGTTAATGGTTCCTCTTCAGGTATTGCCTGCCATCTACAGAGTTTCTCATCAAAATCTGAAAATCAGCTCTCTTAATGCTGACTGAAATGAAAATCGACATATTTCTCAATGTAAAACTCAAGAGCATCTGCTTCAACATGTTCAAGGTTGACAATGTTAAAAGGTTGAGGAGAACTGCATTGAGGATAAATATTGTTTAGAAATTTCAATTATTTCCTGATGCATTTCAAATCTCTCATTTCTCAAAGCAATTACATTGTACATGCAGCATACCAGACAGAACAACAATTTCAATAGGTCAGTGTGCTATGAATGATTCATAGCTGACATTAAAAGACATTTTTGGGGGACTGGTGATGCTGCATTACACCTACATGGGTGCTTTCCGAAGGTGGTCAGTGGACCATGGGCCTCCACTGGCTCCTTAGGAAAGTGCACGTGTAAACAAATAGTGACATCATCAATACGAAGTCCTACTGGAAAAGAAAAATGTTAAAAATTCTTTTGTACTCTATCCCTGCACATTCCTAACTCCACTGACCTGTTCTATCCGTATTTCTAGATATGACACCGTGTGGGGAGGCATGTTCATCAGGAGTGCCGAGCCTGGCCAACCAGTCTACTCATGGACAAATTTTGGTTTTGTGTCCTACGCTGACCATCATTTTCACCTGGGATACTGGCTCTATGCCATCGCTTACTATGCCACCTACCAAAAAGACTGGGCCAAGCAAGAAAGTACTATGGAAACATCAGTCCCTTTAGGAGACAAATGCCAACTGAACATCAACCGATTTACAAATACATGTAGAAACATAACTGAGGGAAATTCTGAGGGGGGGTATGGGGGAAGAAACTCTTTTCAAGGGGGCACTGAAAGCAAGTGAACAGTGGCTTGTATACATTTCAAAGCTTTTTTTGGGGGGGACTTTCCCCCTCCCCTTGTGAGTTAACTGATTCAAATCCTCATTACTGATGGTTAAGTAACATTACCAAACTTGTCGCGATCATGCTGGACATAAGGTCATAGAAGCTACTTGCTTCTATGTACGCTTGGCAGAAATGACAGCTTAGCAAATGTATTCAAAAAATGGTTGTACATGTATCCTGTTTCTGCTTAGCAAACATTTGCTGTGCTTAGCTGCAGCTGCTTCCCCTAAAGACATGTCTCAAATAACTTTTGCCATTTGACAGTTTTGGACATTTGGCAATTTGACATACCACACGACACCTGAAGTACCATTTTTGTCATTCTAGGAGCCACCTTAACAAACTGAACTCTTCCAATTCATGATCACATCTTCAGAAAACTATGACCGGATAATGGCCCTCGCCAGGGATGTTAGTAACATAAGGTAAGGTCTGGGCTTGCCAGCATGCTGCTATTCATATATGAATCTGCCTAGATTTATGTATACCAGTGTTGTAGTCGAGACCATCACAAGACAAGACTTTTGCAAGAACACAAGAAACAGGGTGAACAGTGACAAACAAAGTCTTTCATTGCGTTACAGTTCACTTTGAAAAACTTGTGACTTGTTTTCAGACTCGAGTCCTTGGGGTGTTACGGTGTCTTGTGATGGTCTAAAGAGGTCTCGACTACAGCACTGTTATATCAAGGTAACTGAGATTAGGAATGAGCTGTACGACTGTTGAAAAGACTGCAGTGCGACTGTTGATAAGACTGCAGTGCGACTGCTGATAAGACTGCAGTGCGACTGTTGATAAGACTGCAGTGCAACTGTTGATAAGACTGCAGTGCGACTGTTGATAAGACTGCAGTGCGACTGTTGATAAGACTGCAGTGCGACTGTTGATAAGACTGCAGCGCGACTGTTGATAAGACTGCAGCGCGAAGATATAAATTTTCACACTGAATATGGTGCCCTTCAGAGACGAAAGGACTATGCTTGTAAGAAAATATTCAGGTTTGAGTTAGGGTGGGACTTTTGAACCCTTGGCTTCCTACTTGCTCCTGCAGACATCTAGTAAGTCCATCGATGAGCTTACAATTGGAACTCACCTCGATGAAATTAAACTTTACCAGTCAAAACCAGCGATAAGACAAATTATATGACACAAATCGAAAATTGAAGACAGAGGGTCAAGAAAGGAACCAAGGGACAAATTTCCTTAAGGCGGTATGGTAATTAAAAAATTTATTTACTAAAACATGAGGCTAGACTAACTCATACTTCGTATGATTGGGAATGCAAGAGTGAATCTCTGAGGTCATAGCAAATGTTTGCACTACAAATTCTCAGCAGCAGAACATTTCTGAACTTGTCCAATTTTGTCTGCAAATGCTCTGCGATATAAGATTCATGCTCACTTTTGCTCCTATATCCTCCAACAAGTACTAACGAGTCTAGTCTACCGACAGAATAATTTCACAGGGGCTTTGACATGACTTTAAGAAACTCTTTTTTAATTAATTTATTCATTCTATTCAAGAAATCACTGTAACTTGTGATTGAAAATATTAAGAAAAATTACCAATATCAAAACGACAGTATTACTCGAGTTTCGCAAGAAAACTTTGCTGCATTCATAATAACGGAAGCATTTATCATCGTTTCCGAAATCAATGTGCGTGTATTGTACATGTATGTCTTAGTCCAAGTAATACATGTAAGCTGTGTAATCTTATAAACACTCTGCAGAGTCTTGATTCAGGTTAAAAATATATTTGATGAAATGCTGAGAGAAATTCCCATTTTTATATATCAAAAGAAGTCTTTTGCTTGAGAATATACATGCACATGATCAACTAGTGCTAAAATACCTGTAGGCCCCCTACCTATGGGTAAAGTTTCCTTTTTTGTTAAATCACATACCGGTACTTGACAGCCTTGGTGGCCTGTGACTCAGTTAAAATGTAACTATAGGTAAGGCAGTGTCCAAGTGTTTTGGCTGTGACTGGCAGGTACATGTACACCTGTGCCTATATGCAGTTGTAGCCAGTATAGATAGTGGTTTCTACACTTACACGTGCTATACTGGTTGACGTCAAATTTTTCAAATGCGGCCCTTGACCAGGAACAAAGTACATGTTTTTGAATAACCAATGATGGAAAGCGGAGGGTTGCGGGGGTCTAATAATCCTCTACGGCACTCTCGATTCTTTGGAGTTTCACTTTTGAAAAAAGAAGCTTTCTACATATCACAGCTGCCAGTTCACAGGATCACAGGCTTTGATTTTGTCACAAAACACGCAATGCTGCAATTGGAAATCATCAACAGTAGGTACTTTGCCTACAATGGCAAAACTGTGAGGCTTGACAAGAGTTCTGCTCAGACTCAGACTCTTTGTCGAGCCTCCTGGTCATGAGGCTCGCTTTGCCCCTGAAAAAAGCCCCAACAGCATCTGTGATTTCAGAGGAATGTTATGCACTTAGTAACACTCTGAATTCTCTGCAGTCTGACTGGCAGGTGAGAGTGGAATCCCCATAGTGTGTGCACGCGTCATCGTTTTAACCAAGGAGTACGATCCAAGTCTTCTGCAGGGTGATTTGGATACCTCCTTTTGCAATTTCAGACATGCATACAAATGCTTCAAGCAATAACACCGTGGGAACAAGGATGTCTCGTTTTTCACTTCGAGGGGGAAACAGCATTGGGTACACCCCATTTTCAAAGTTTCAATTGGTAGCTAAAACCCTGACCTGCGTTAACATTCAAATTAACTTGATCACCTGTCAGAATGGAGGACAGAAGTGGTCTTGATGTATAGGCTACTCACAGATAAAGAGAGTGTCAAAATTCAAGGTACAGACCTCCACTGCAGCTGTCAATAAAGTAACTGACAAAATTGTTATTGAAGAGCATGATTGGTTTGAAGATGGAATTGGATTAAACTCCCTTTGGAACAATTCTTTCAGACAAACTGTAATTTTAAAGAAAGAAATAAAGAAGGTCAATTCCAAAGACGCATCGAAAGGTGGATTTTTGGAAGAGCAGTTTGTTTCTTGGTAATTTTGTGAAGTGCATGCTAGTGTTGACATGATGCACATGCACGGTTGCTATGATACATCAGTTCTGGTCGTAACGTTGCATAACAGCTATCCGCTGAATGAGAGCATGCCCTGGATGCTGAATTTCTGCACAACTCAAAACATGACTCTGCAAAATTACAAGCCTTGTCCTTAGTCTGCCAGACAAGTACGCTGACATCCTTTGCGTGAAAGACACCGAGGATTCGTTCGCATTTCCTTGAAATGAAATATTGCTCACCAGTAAACTGACCTCTGTTGTCATGTCTATGCGGTAATAAGCACAGGATATTTTCTCAGAGTGAAATTTGAAGTGGCTGGGGTGAAGCCAAAACAAAGATTACACCTGAGCCAAGTTCATCAAATGCTTGTTTTAACCTCTGCGGTATTAATCCACTCTGAAATGTGGAAGGGACGGCAGTCACACGAAATCCCAAATCTCCTTTCATTCTACCCTTCTGCTCTGTCCACCAAGAGCACTGACCTTGCCCGGGGAGGTCACAAAGAGCCCTCTGGAGGCGTGAAGGGATTAGGCTTGGCTGTCTCCTTCTGCAGTTCATACAACTGTCCAAGCTGTTCATCACTCAGGCTGTCCAGTTTTTCCTCCGGCAAGTGCTGCCCGACGCTGGGTTTACTAGCGTCAGAATGTTGGAGCTGGTCTTGGAGAACTGCCACATAATTCTTAAGAAACAAGACAATGCACACATGTGTAACCGGTGAGATTGAATAAAAATGAAAGATCCATGAAATAGTCACCACAAGCTTTGAAGGCCCAACAGGAGCATAGGGTCTATGGTATACATTTGTGTCGCCAAAAGAGCCCTTAAAATACCTATTTTTTACATGTACAAGTATAATTTTTTGGGACGTAAAAACAACTGAATTGTAACTCAACATTCTCCAGGTTTTAAAAGAAATCAATTGTGAAATCCTAGACTCAGGAAAATCTTGGCCAAAAAATACTGAAATCAAAATCCTGACAAATCCCACCCCGAAAATACGGTTTGAAAAATAAGTATCAATGTAATATAAAGAAACTTTTACACTCTGTTTCAACATGTAGTTGACACTTTGCTTGCTATAGGAGATACGATGAGTTACAGATCTTTGCCATGTGACATACTGAAAAATCAAACTCTACTCACATATGGCCCAGGCTGGGAATTTGTCCACGCCAGGACCACAGTGGTGGGAGGTATTTTACTCCTTAGCCAACCACGTCAGGAAGTGACGTACCTCTTCCATGTAATGAATAAATAGCAAAATTATCTCCATAAATAATGCTTCTGTGTAAAATAAAATTGGACGTAGGATGAGCATGAATAGAGTACCGAAGTGTGACGTCACTGTGCGCCCGAAAGTGCAGTGCAAACGAATGGAGTACCTGCACGTTCTCGCGCTAATGCCTTTTACACACTAATTGTGCGCGTGACGTATTCACTTCGGTACCCTATATGAGTAGAGCCAGCATTTCATAATGCTTGTCAGTGCAGAAAGTTTCAGACACTGACCTGCCACTCGTCCATGAACTTTTTCACCTCCTCCTCATTTGCCGTCTTGTGCCTCCGAAACTCCGCCTTCACATACTCGTCTCCTACAGCCTTCATGTCCAGCGGTAGTCTCCGATGAAGGAGGAGGATGTGCTTGTATAAGGAGCGGACGGTTGATGCGTGACTCCCTGCCATCCCTGCTGGGGTCACCTCAGGATTCTGTAGATGCTCACCTCAAACTTTGCAGGAGTGCACGGCGTTCCTTCCTGTGAATAACATAATCGGACTGTTTTACATACGGAAGACCTACAGGTATGAACATGACTAGATGTGCAAATAAGTAGAGCATGTAGGAAGACATCCGAAGCGACTCCGTCTTAGCTATGTCTAAATATACATAAATATGAAATATACCGTTGCTAATGATCATGACTCCCTGTAAAAAGTGCAGTTTTGAGGCACAAAAGTTTTGCACGTTCAAAGATTGCTCTCAACGCTATCTGTGCAGGTTTTAAATATATGCAATCTAATAAAATTTACGTCACCAAAATTGCGCAAGTTGCGCAAAAATTTAAGATTAACGCACTTTCAAATATTGCACTGAATAATTTCATCGAAACATGCGCAATCTTGTTCATGGAGCAAAAGGAAGACGCATTGCTTCACACAATGGGGCAATGGAAGGAAAGAGTTCCATATACGGACAACGCTAATTTTCCACGGTTTCCCTTAAAGTGTCACAACAGCTGTCAGAAAGTGTCCTAAAAAGTGAAATTTAGGATGGCAAATTCCAAAGCATTTACTTAGAAAACATTGTCTTTCAGACAAGTCTCACAGGTTTGTCTACACGCAGGTACATGTATGTGGCAACAAAATTCAAAGTCAATGAATAACCAAACTGATATTGCTGAAAAGCATGTGAAAAGTTATTTCCAATGACGCCAATGATACCAAAACACCAAAGTTATGGTAGTTTTCGTGGCATACAATTACAATGTAGCTTAATTTCTGTTCCCTTGAGTTAACACTAAAGCAATGGACTGACTTGACAATTCAGCTTTGTGACCAACACTACCTGAAAATGGGCCTCGCCAAATATTTTGTAGATTTCTGATTTACTGATTAATTTTAATGAATGCGGTGTCATTGGGAAGCTTAGAAAATTCCCCCAAACACAATAACAATGACAATTGTGAGATTAACATTCAATAACATGGTGATGATTTGAATTTTCACACAAAAAAGAAACAATAAGGTGTAAATTACAAATGAAATAGATCCAACTTTTCCTTAGAACAGAACTAAAACAGCAGTGGGAGAATATTCTCCCTGGCCTTTTTAAAAGATAGACAGATGCTGACAACAGAGAAAATAAGAAGCATTTTCATACTCATAACCATGGCGACCCTGGGGAGAGGTATTCCACTACTGCCATTTACCTTTAACACAAAATCAAGTCTCCGAATAGAAGATCAGCAGCGAGTGCCTGCTTTGAAATGTCATAGTTTGTACTTTCTTCATAACACTCCTTCTCTGACCAGTAGCCAATACAATAATGACCCGTCCCTTCAATGCTTTTCAGTTTTTCAATCTTTCCAGACCAGACAGTCTTCTGACTAGTGTCCCCATCATACCAAGTATGGCATACTGTGCGACCAGCAGTAGTCTCACTGATGAGAATGTCAGTAAGCCCCGTGTAGACATCTTGTGGAAGATCTGGGAACACTGTTTGAATGTTGTTTATGTCAATGGCTTTCAACTTCTTCTCCACGTCCTTTCTTTCCTTCTCACTTCTCTTCTGTCTCTTATTTGACAGCCTTAGTGACATTTCTTTCCTCATCCCAACTAGGGTAAGGTTCTTGATCTTCACTGCCAGCTCAGCACTCTTATGGTAAGAAATCAAGTCCAGCTCATGTGTAATTTGTTCCACCGTGGTCCCGTGAGGAATCGCACTCAATACCTCACCCTGTCTCCTGACACTGCTCTGAATTAAAGATGGTATTTTCTGTTGGGACCTGATTAACCACAGAATCATACACAATCATTCTTTGTGGGGACACCACATTCCATCCATCCATCTTTCATTGTGCTGCTGCTAGTCTCTTTTGATTTGCTAAGATGCTCTCCTAACCCTTCCTGCAGTGCCAGCTTTACATTTTGCAGAATGCGGATTAAGTCATCATTGTCCTTAATCTCATTTCTTAGTTGAATGACCATTTTTTTGTGATGAAGCTGCCTTTTTTATCTTCTATTTTGCTTTATTCAATTCTTTTAAGCGTCTCTGCTTGTGCTGCTCCTTCTTCAATTGTTCAACAACACCAGCATCACTTTCTTTTATTTGTCTTCTCAGATACACAACAGTGGCATCTTTCACCTTCATAGCTATTTTTTTCTTTTAATGTCTTGCTTTAGATATTTGATTTCAGAACACTTCTGCACACTGAGTTACGCTTTCAGCTGCTTCACTTTTTCTAAATACAAGTCCTTCTGACTTTTTCGTTGAATGGAAACCAAAATGAAGTCTTTGTGTTAACTTTCATTTCCTGGGAGTGATGTCTCTTTCACGAAGACTGTGACTTGAAGCTACTGATACAGTTCAAGTTTCTCCGTCACAAAAGTCGACAATTTATTGCGCTCAGTCTCAAGAGCGGGCTTTTCGAATGATTCAAACTTAGTGCTGAGAGTTCTCCCGTGATTTGAATTGGTGGTGCAAGTAGGTGGTGGAAGAACAGCAGAAATGGCATGGACTCTATGCGGAACTGAGATTCCATTTTCACAGTAGATATGCAAACATGTCCATTCTTCACGTTTCCATTATTTGGGATTGTGTTGTAGACATCAATATGATGTTGAGGAGTTACGCCTGCCAGAGGAGGAGATCTCCTTGTTTTCTTAACCATCCTCATGAAAGACAGAGTAAAGACAAAGTTTATTAGGCCTAATACCGGCGATTCACAAGAGTGTGCCTCCAAGAGTTTGCAACGTGTTGACCAATCACAGTGCGTGAAGTCGACACTTTCCAAATGCGCATTCTGTATGACCGCTCCCGTCCAAAATTGGAAAAAGACAAATACTAGTATTAGGCCTACTAGTAGAGCTGCAGTAAAGCTACAATCATTATTGGAGATTTCATCTCAAAGATTCTTGCCAATATTTGAGAAATAATTGTTGAAGTAATTAGCAATAACTTTGGGATCATCAATGGCGACACCGTTTGATTCAATATTTGATATTGTGGGTGGGTTTGGAAGTTGAGTCGGGGCCACTACTGATGTGCAATTACCTTTTTCTTTATCAAACTTCCAACGGAAGAAGGAAAAGCACCAATTTTTCAGACCAGTCTCATACTTGCCTACATAGGGTTTGTGCACAGGGTGTCAAGCGGCGTCCGTATAAGAAATTCTTCGACCCGAATTCTTCCAACGCAATTCACATAACGAAGGTCAAGTTACCTATGCATCACATCAGCCTGCCGATGCAATGTCATGTCACCCACGACCCAGACATGCGTGCCATATGCTGTACGGCGACCTTTTCTGTTATGAATTTACCAACACCTCTTTATCAAATGCACGATATCCGACTAAAGAGCTGGAATTAACATCATCAGTTCACAAGAGGGCTCACTTCCAAATCTCAGCTCCCCAGATCTGGCAGACTGTCGCTCTGTACGTATACGAACAATACTTTGATGATGCGTGCGGACACGAGAACACGTCAAAACTTTCAGCCAATCAGCCGTGTTCATACACAAATCCAACAGGTGCAGTACAAGTAGAGAGAATATTTTCGCATCTGTAGGGAAAAACGCTCCCCGCACTACAAGATCAAATTCGAAATGTTGGCTTGAACACCCCATTAGTTTACCCAGTTAATGATTAATATCATGCAGAGAATCTGTATAATTCTGTGAAAAATAAATTAAAAGCTCTGTGCCGTGGATGGTTATTCCAGAGTCATTTAGATTGCGTGTAGTTGCTCTATTAAGATATGTTTCTTAAATATAGACAAGCAGGGGCGTAGCCGGGGGGGGGGGGGTTGGGGCACATTCCCTCCACAAATTCCCGTGCCCCCAATAAAGAAGCGGGTGAATGGATATTGAACAAGGCTAACTACAGCTTGCTCTAATGCCCTAAAAACCAAATCACTGAAAGCTGGTGCCCCCCATAAGACGCTGGTGCCCCCTGTGCCCCCTCCCCATAATCAGTGAAATCTTAGCCATGCCTGGGTGAATCCAGGTAAGATTAGAAGCAAACTTTCCGGATGATATGAAGAGTACTTTTTAGGAAAGGAGCAAAGGGGTAACAAAAGCATTGAGCACAATTTCCAATTCTATAATAGGTAGGGTCAGTGGCGTATGGGGGTGGGTAAGCCTTTTGCGAGTTAACTTTGACCCAAATCTGGTATACTGAGTTCTTTACATTCACGTGAACATAACAAATTTTGAATCCTCCTTACTAAAACCACTGTTGCTATACCTCGTGGTTCGGGCAAGCTTTTCCTAAGTTACATAAGAGACGCCTTGCAACAATACACTGTTCTTAATGGATAAGAAGGGCACAAAGGAACCAATCCATTCATGGTAGTCGCTATACAAAAGCCTTGCCCCGAATCACGGGGTACAGCAACAATGTCTTTAGTCTGAGGAATTTTCGTTATGTTTACGTGCAGTCAGATAACTCAGTGCACCAGATTTTATTCAAATTTAACCCGCAAATGGCTTATTGCCTCCTGGCAAAATGACAAAATAAGGCAATTAAAAGCACTTACACTTTCGATACGTTGAAAACACCTTACAAACGGGGGGGGGGTGTTAAGGTGTTATGATCTGAAAAACTCCACACTGTTCAATGATTCTGAAGCTTGATTTTTCTCCGATGCACTGGATTCAGTTCACAAACTGTCTCTTCCGGAACAAAATTCAGCTCTGCACTTCACTTGGTCTGGACGAACTTTTCTTACTTTTCTTTTCGCACAGACGACTCGTCACCACAGGTTGGAATGGTGCAGAAGTCAACAAGATTCAAATTTATTATTGTCCATGCCAAAACTCACAAAGAAATTTACTTTCCATTGGCTTGTTGCAAACAGTAAGTTGTTGCATTCATCAATATTACAATCACACTCAATAACAAAACAAGAAGATTGCATTAAAGTAACATAAATGGCAATCACAGTCTACAAAGACAATAATTTCCTAACTGATATTGCATATTCTCACCCTGTTATTACCAAGGAAAGTGTGTCGGGGGGTATCCAAATAAATAGTTGTAACAGTGGATTAGCATTATAACAGTGGATTGAATTTGGAATAAATGACTGTCTTTATCGAAGCCGACGTGTGAGTGGGGTGGCACAGACGAATCCCAGAACGATTAAACCTGTAATGGATAGATTATGTCTGACATCATCTTTTGTACTTAAGCTAGAAGACAAGTGTCATATATGACTTGGACAGGGGTAAGTGCTTGACCTATCAATCTCTGTCAAAGACTTCTCGAAATGGACACCTAGAATACTCCATCCACTTAAAATCACTTTAGCAGTGACCAAGATTGAAACTTTGGAAATAATTATACGGATGCTTGGACAAAACGGTTGAAAAACAGCAAAATTTAGTTTATTACACTGCGTACTCTACCACTAACACTCTTCACCATTCCCTTATTGACATAAAACAGCAGAATATTTAAGCTAGCCTCGTTATAATCATTTAAGATCAGTAACTACAAAACCCATTTTTTTAAAGGCAACGCATTCCTTTTGCGATGTCGACGTCATAAATCAAAATTTTGGAGTAGTCAACTTGAAATAGCAAGGCAAGTCTTTTTGAACGGTTTCGGCCTACCTCGGTCCTTTTTTACATGTCTATTCTCTTTTGGAAACTCTGTTTCTCTGTGGTCAAAGAAATCCAAACCAAAATGTAACGGGCCACGTATCATATACCTATTAAAAGGAATCCAAGCTGTGATAAGCAAAGCTAACACAAATTGTCACAGTTTTTGAAGCGGAAAGCGTCAGTGATATTTACAAATTTGAACTTGGGAAAGACTTGTTAAACATTACGACTAGTGAAACTGCAACCTCAAATCTACATACAAGAACTTCCAAGAAGTTCAAACAACTTCCACATTTCTGCAAAGATAATAAAAAACTTAACTTTTCACCTCCACGTTACGCACACCTTTAGCAAACATGAAACTCAGACACACTTCTCAATGACTGGAAAAAATCCTCTAAGTTAAAGACTTAAATTTAAGTTTCCGCATTGATATACTGCCATTGGATTGGTAGGATTGTCAAGTAGGCCCTACATGTAGTTCAAAATTGAATCAAATTCGCTCGAGTCAAACGGCTGTGACAAAGAGATATAAAGGACTGTGACAACTACGTAAATTTAATTACAAGTTTAACTGATTGATGTGTCGATTGCTCAGTTTTGATAAATCTATCATTAAACTACTCAAAAAGTGCTTTGGAAAACGAAGTTAGTCTTTCAGAAGGTGAGAGTGGATCCTAACAAAAAGATCTCCCGCCAAAAACCTTTTTTTCCTGATGAAAGAGAAGACTGAAAACTCCCTTTCAGGGGTCCATGCAATACGGTTTGTTTACTGTTCTCCCGGGAAACACATCTATGTGTTTGAAGCAATCTTATTTCTGATTTTTGTTTTGCTGTTTTAAAGGGTATTTTGGCGCATTCTGATTAATGGTAATGTAAATTGCCATATCCATGAGCAAAATTGTGAAGTCATTCGTGGGAGAAAACGCCAATGTTGCATCGATCTGTGAACAAAAACCTGCTGGAAGTTCTTTCCATTTTGCTGTTCAAAATTTCAAATTTCTTTAGGAGATGCATTGTTGGTTTGGCATGCGTTCATGACCATGAGCCAACAAGCAACGGTCTCTGTGAAATGTTTCCATGAGCAGATTAAGGTTCACAGGTTGAACAGAAAACCTAAACTGACCAGTGTCTTCCTCGAGTGACATCCAAGCAACCGGCACTCCTGGTGTCTAGAAAAGCAGACAATTTGCAATGTTTAAAAACAGTGCACCCTTTCTCACATACGCTGATAGCCCCAAAGAGGATATCACACACCTTGTAGATATGAAAAAGTGGAATCAGTTACACAGAAAGGGTGTGTGAGAAAGTTTCATCGTCTGGACCCTGAAACGAAATGTTCCCATTGACACGTACCTCTGTAGTGTGTCGACAAAAAACCAACAATACACTTTTGTACGTAAAAACACGGACACTTTTCTTACTAGAGCTGTAGTTCTTTGGTTGCTACGTCTTCAGCACTTTTCTGAATGCGAGTTGTTGTGGTATAGTTTGTTTTGATGTGTATTGAAATTTAAATAACAAAAGTGTCACCTGATACTCTCTTGACCAATCGACAGACAACATCCCCTGATGATACACATTATACACAATTTGTGTCATGCTCTGTATGAAATCAGGAAAGGAACACAAAATATGAATGCCCGTACTGAAATGTTAACCCACAGCCGAGCCTAATCCTTCAGTTTCTATTATTCTTATAACTCTTTGGACACATTAACCAGCCTTGGAGCAAGTACGGCTATAGATAAACCATCTTATTAACAAGCTTGTAGAGGTGGTAAGATGATAATGCAATGTACACGCGTTTATGATTATCAATCCAGACATGTTTATGTTGTGACTGTTAGGCCCAATATGCTTTCTGTCCTTTACAACATGTACATGTAAATATTTGGCTGCGAGAAGGAAGCACCATGGATAGTAAACCTCTGGCCCTTTAATATCATGAGCATCACATGCAGACATTCCTTTGTGGATGGCCAAATTAAGGGAGGCCAAAAGTTAAAAACTTGGTTTTGCTGACCACTGGTTGGCAAAAAATGGGCTCTGGGACACAGCAAAAAGTAAGAGTCTACCCTTGATATAAACTGCAACCGTTTGTTTGCCGTCAGCCATGTGTTTTATTTTAAGGCTTCACCATCCCCAAAGAGAGGGTTCTCAAACATCCAGGCTTGATTGCCGTTCGTGTGTGAAGGCTTGGGCTCAAACGTTCTGAGGAAGAAAGGAAAAGGCATGTTGGTTATTCAAGGGATCATGCCATCAGTTTTTCTTCAACACACAAGATGATGCTCAAGCATCTTGACATTCTTTTTCAAGTTCTAAAAACTATTTGACCTCTTCTTGGCATTAAGAATATTGAAAAAGTGGACTTTTTAAAACATTTAAAAACAGCTAAAGTTTTTCTGGACGACTGAGGGTTCTGTTGCCCTGATGTCAATCAGGGGAGACACTTCCGTTTATGGAATTTTCTGTTCATATTTTGAACTCACAATTGAAATTTGCTATTGAAATATTTCAAAGGAAGGGTTGCTCACTGCCCTGGTGCTATGATGTACTTTAGTAATCACGAATAATCACAGTAAAAGGAATTCTGGTAATTTTTAAACCACAAATCATGCAACACTGAGGTTTTCTGCCTAAAATGAAATCAGTTTCACTCACGAAGACAAAAATTGGTTAACGCAAAAAGCTAAAAAGGCACCAAACTACTTTTTAAAACAGCAAAACAAAAAACTAAAAATAAGGCAAATTAAGAAAGAATGGTGCATTTGCCAAGGACTGAATTAAAAGAATTGCATGAAAAGTTTAAATAACACCTTTTTTAACACCTTACAACACTTTTAATACTATCCACTGAAAATCAGAATCCTGCCATTAAAAATGAAGACTAAGGAACAAAAATAAAGAAAATGTAAGAAAACTTTCTTTACAGCCAAAGCCAAGTGTTACGTGAAAATTATCTGGCAGAAGCCAAAGTTTGGCTACTTGTCATGTGATTATAAAGAGCATTTCATTTGGTCCCCAATTTTTGTCAACTCACTTCTTGGATTTCTTCTCTCTGGCCTTGAGTAGATTCCTGTTTTCATTGGTGGTCTCACTGCTGACTGACAATATTCGACCTCGGCTCGCCATGAGATCAGCTTCAGATAACTTCGGGATATCTGTTCACAGATCGAACAAACAAACAAACAAACAAACAAACACAAACCAGAGCAGTTCAGTGTGCTGTCATAAGATGGTATGCAGACTTGAACCATCAATTTGGCGGGGTAGTATCCAGCCTGGACTTGGGACTCGTCTGCGCACTCCTAGAATAGAAAGTTGGGCACTTGAACGTTCTAGGCAATAACACATGCATCCTTGGAAAAGCATTGGTTCATGTGGCTAGGAGTTGCATGCACTTCTATAGGCAAAACTGGAGAGGGGGGAGTCTGGGTTTTTTAACACCCTTCTATTTCCTTGGAGTTCCACTTTGCAAAATTTGTTTAATATTTGTCTGAAGTTTTTCATGTCTTGCAGATCACCAGTAAAACCAAACTCACAAAGAATTGAACATATCAGTTCATAACCTTGAATTTCTATCCAATTCCTTCATTATATGCCATTCAAGTAATATGACCTTCGCCAGTAAAACTGTACCCCGTCACACCAGTTCTGCTGGGACTCAACATTCACTTGCTTTCCAGTCACTTGTGCCACACTTCGGCTCAAGTTCCAAGTTTTAAGTACTGCTTCCAGATCAGGAATTAAGAGATCACATCCGAATCTTTCTGTGAGTTCGACGATTCTTGGAAGGCTAAGCTAATACACTAGTGATATCAACCTCACTCGTAGTGTCTTGCAAGTGAAATTACAATGTAGGTACAGGCTCACTGTTAAATTTGACTGCCTTACTTAATTGCTTTTGACGTTGTCGTCGTCTGACAAGACATGCTATGATAATGATGAGGCCAATCAGTCCAAGACCAAGGGATGACGCAAAGATGGCTACGTCACGCTTGTCTACAAGATGGTGGGGAAAAAAGACGATGTAAGAAAAGCAGCACATAAACATCTGAGACGACACAGTGCCACCAAGTCCCCCAACCCAAACACCCTGTTTACTTTTACCGACCTTGAAAGAACATTCCCTTATTTTCATTGTTAGGAAAGCTGGGTGAAAATACTCATTCTTCTTGAACTGTGAACACTTTTCATCTGGAAGTTTGTTGATGGTCTCTTTGACAAGTCAAGTCACAAGTCATTAGGTCCGGTCACAAGTCAAGTCACAAGTCATTTGGTCACAGGGCAAGTCAAGTCAAGTCAAGTCAAGTCAAGTGTCATTTGGTCTAAACACAAGTCAAGTCAGTGTCTCTTTGTCCAAGACTCAAACGGTTCAATGATTTTCAACCTCTAGACCTCTGTTCATCCCATCTTTTCCAAATAAACTTAAAATGGCCTTACTGTAGGGCTTGGTGTTCTCTCCACTGTCAGCCGCAGTTCGATTGCCGTCAAAGGTAATTACTGGTTTCTGTGTGGGCAATTCTGGTAAGGAGAGCAGAGCACGAGAAATGTGTGGAATTTGGAAATGTAACTGATGGGCTGACCAATGGATAAGGAAAGAGTCAACAAGAATGTGTCCCAAGATGTGTTGGTTGGTAAACTTTAACAGCAGATGAGTTTAGTTGCAAAGTGATGAAATCGAGGTGGCCACACTTGCAAGATCAGGAAGGTGCAAAATAACTACAGCTAGCATATTTTGAAAAGCCATTGATGTGGGGGGGGGACCGTTTGAATGCTAAATGCCGTGTGATCTTGAGATAACCACTAACCTCAATGAGAAAAAGCCAGTTATGTTGGACACCTTTCACAAATCATACTGACTCAGACTTGTCAGGCTTTTGATACTTAGGGAAATAAACAAAAACAAAATGTTCTTACGGAATTGACACTTGTCTCCGCTATATCCTTCCTTGCATAGACACTTCCCGTTGGTCTGATTGCAGACAGCGCCGTTGTAACACACACAAGTGTGCTCGCAGTCAGGCCCCCAGCGGTTCTCCGCACACTCCGGTGGCTCAAGACAGGTCCCATTCCTCGGGTCGCACGTCCCACTGGGGCAGGGGCACTGTAACGTGCAGTCCAGGCCGTAGAACCCCCACTCGCAGGTGCTCTGGCAGAAGACGCCCGTCCAGCCGGCTGGGCACCAGCAGGTGCCGTTGACCGGGTGGCACGTGGCACCGTTTTGGCATGGGCACTCCTGCTGGCAGTTGTTGCCATAGTAACTGCCGTTGCAGGGCACCACGCAGGTGTCCCCCTGCCAGCCCGCACTGCAGGAGCACAGTCCCGTGACGTGGTCGCAGGAGCCATGGAAGCAGCCGCAGGTGTATTGACACTCAAGGCCGTAGAACCCAGGCGGGCAGGGCTGGTTGCAATGCCAGCCAGTCCAACCATCCGTACAGGTGCAATGTCCTGCGGAAACAAGCAATTAAAAATCCTAAAGAACAGTCCGCTGGTGGGCTTTAATTCAGTTAAGGGGCCATTTTAGTATTCCCACCATACACTGGACATCAAAATGTGACACGTATCCATTTCAGAATAAATGTAACAAAAGGCGATAAAATCCACACCTGTCAATTCAAAACAAAAAATGACAAAATGTTCATTCACACAAAGTTGAAGACTTTAAAAATACCCTCCAGAGAAAGTAGTTGTTGGTTTAATTTCATTGTCCCTGCTATGATTGTGTACTTAGGGTAAAATCTTCATCTTGAAAGAAATCCTTCAAATCTTAATATGTACATCTAGTTAATTGCTGAACTGGCTTCATACATTGCCACAGGAGAATATTATGGGTAATACAAACACACAGTTTAACTCTAAAGGAACTAGGTTTCCTGAACTTCTCCAGCTGGGGAGGGTCCTTAAGAAATCATCATTCCCATTACCAATATTTTTAAAAAGTTATCTGGCAAGTACTGTTATGAGTACAATAGTGAAATTTAATTCCATCAGACACGGGCTTCTGTTTTTTTATGGTCAATCCCAGTTCACACTCTGGCATTTGTTGGCCAGCATGTGCACTGACCACCTACCTGTCACATGATCACAGGTGCTATTGTTCTCGCACAGGCACGTCAGGGAGCACTGGTCTCCATAGCTGCCTTGGATACAGGGTGACGAGCAAATGTCGCCCTCCCACCCGGGGGCACAGTGACATGCCCCCGTGGCCGGATTGCACCCTGCGCCATTCAGACATGCACAGTCCAGTTGGCAGCCGTCGCCGTACCTCCCCTTGGGGCATGACTGCTCGCAATTGGCCCCGATCCATCCCGCTTGGCAGGTGCACGCACCAGTGATGTGATTGCACTGGGCACCGTTCATGCACGGGCAGGATTCCAAACATTTCTGGCCATACATACCTTGAAAAAAACATGAGGCTTCAGCTGAAGTGTGTCGATAATATAAGACATCTTCTTGAAAGTGGATAACGTTTCAATAATGTATGGCTATACCGAGTGGCCAGCAGCTTTTCAGGGTAGAATGTGTAATTTTTCTACCTGATAATCCAGTTGGAAGCATGTGCATAGTCAGTGTTCTCATATTCCCATGAAAAAAGAAGTTTTTTCAAGACTGTCTTTTCTCGCCCTTTATACTCATTGAACCAGCCTCATTACCATTTTCGGGCATTAGGGCCACAACACCAGGTATGGGGAGCTCGTCACTAGATCAATGGATTGTTTGATGGTTACAGTTTTTGCCAATAAGGGGCCAGCTGTTCCGGGGGGGGAGCCCTTCTGGGCCCACTTTTAGCCACAGGCCAGCATTGAGCTTTGTGATTGGCACGGCACATGAACACTGCCATTTCCAGATATGATGACACATAGCACTGAAGACGAGTTCAACTGCACTGCTAAGGAGTCTAGGAAGCATCGAAAACATCTTAAATTTGATGATGCCCTACTTCCTAGTCAGACGTGTAACTATTCCCAAGATGGGTATAACTGCTTTTGGTGAAACTGGCCTCGGCTCACTTACCTTCCCAGCAGGTCTCGTTGCATGTCGTCCCCATCCAGCCTGGAGTGCAGTCACACTCTCCGGTCACATGATCACAGGTGGCGTTGTTCTGGCAGGTGCAGGACAGCGAGCACTGCGGGCCGTAGGTGCCTCCCTCACAGGCCGTGTCGCACAGCTCCCCGACCCAACCATCGCTGCACTGGCAGGCCCCAGTTTGTGGGATGCAGTGCGAGGCGTGGACGCACTGGCATGTTGCCAGGCAGTCCTGGCCGTAACTTCCCTCTGTTTGAAAAGAACAAATCATGAGAGCAAGTCAGACGTCAAACTTTTTCGTTTTTCCTCTTCCTACATAACAATGTTGCAGTCGAGTCCACCGTGAATCTATTTGCACATAAAAGGGGCTTATACATAACAAAGGAATGCCTTTGTCAAGCTTCACTTGGAAAACTTTCCAGGACTTGTGATTGGCTGGAATAATAGTGCTTAAACAGAAGTGCTCTTGAAATGACCAGATTACCCTTCATTAGATGGCACTCGATAGATGGCATGTTTCATGTGCAAATATTCCCATTTTTCTAAAAAGATACCAAATTATGTGAACGTCATGAAATAATCTTTTAAACCTCTGTAAATGAAGTAGTTGGTTCAAAAAATCAATCATTTGAACAGTTGATAACAGGTTACAGTTTCCATTTTGGGCCTTACCTTCACATAAGTATTGGCACATTCCTCCCTGGTATCCTGGCAGGCATGTGCAGCTGCCATCTACTGGATTGCATTTGACGTGATTGACACAAGCGCAGCTGAGACCACATGACTGGCCGTACATTCCCTCAGGGCAGGAGAGCTGGCATTTGTCTCCTTCCCATCCTGGCTGACAAAGGCAAGCCCCCGTGATGTGATGGCAAGTAGCGTTGTTCTGGCAATCACATACGTTCTGGCAGTCAGTGCCGTAGGAACCCTCGTCGCATGGCGCGCTGCAGTTGCTGCCTTGCCAACCCTCTGAGCATGTGCAGTGACCGTCTACCTTATCACAGATCGCCCCGTTCTTGCACGTGCACTTCTGTAGGCAGTAGCTTCCATAATATCCCGCTGAACAATTGGACTCACAGAGAGTACCGTAAAAACCAGCTTTGCAAAAGCAATGCCCACTCTGGGGATCACAGGATGCGTTGTTATGGCAAATGCACTGGGAGGCGCAACCGATGCCGTAGGTGCCCTCAGGACATGATGTGTTGCAAGTAGCACTAATCCATCCCGCTGGGCAGGTGCATGCACCGGTAATGTGATGACAAACACCCTCGTTCTGGCATGGACAGACAGAGTGACAATTCTCCCCATAGAACCCCTGGGGGCATCTGTACTGGCATGAGTCTCCCTGCCAGCCTGGTGCACACGTGCAGTAACCAGTCTCTGGATGGCACGTCCCATCATTCTGACATGTACAGAGGTAGCGGCAGTCAACACCAAAATGTCCACCTGTATTTCAGAATAAATGACTCTCCCGTTAGAGACCTGCAATGGGTTTGAACTATTATGAATTCCGAACCCGAAGCATTTTGTCTGAATTTGACTTTTTGAGTTTCAACTGTTTGGGTTGCAAAACCTTCAATATTCCTCAAAAAAACATCAAACCTGGAACAGTGAAATCTCATTTTTTTATAAGGATGGAAATTGACTCTGGAAAATATCCTCTCGAGTTTTTCTAGCACGTGGAGGATAAGACTTTTCACAAACAGAAACAAAATTCCAAGGCCAACACACCAGTTGAGCCTGGTATGATTTGAGGGCTTTACCTGAGCAGCGGGTCTGGCACCACGCACCAGTCCAGCCGGCTGTGCAGGAACACGAACCATTGAAGGGGTTACACTCGGCACCGTTCATGCAGCTACAGGTCAGGGAACAAGACTCACCGTAGAATCCTGGACAGGGGTAAAGAACTAGGGGATCAGTTCAAGTTGATTCCACTAATTACCAATTAAAGGCTGCATTCGAAGTTTGAGGTTGTGGCTCAAAAGGTACTGACTTACAATTCAATGGGAGTACTTTCTGCAAGAATGCAACATGAGAAAACAGAAACTTATACAACTGACGACTGTCAATCATGTAGTTTACTCCCTTGCACCTGACTCTCTTGGATGGCATAACCATTTCTGGTTCTGTATTTCTACTGGCCACCTTAAACGTGTTCCTGGCGTGCTCTGTGTGTAAAAAAAGGCATATTGCTGAAGGGGTTGTGAAAACATGCCCAAGGTCAAAATGGAAGACTACTTCTCTTGATTCTCTGCTTTTACACGAGTCTCATTATTTTCAGTACGCAGAGTAACAATGACTCAAGTACTCACCAGAATCGCAGAGTTCATCGCAATATTCGCCCTGCCATCCTGGCAAGCATGAACATGCTCCGGTCACATGATCGCAGGCAGCACCATTCTGGCACTGGCACTCCTGACCGCAGCGCCAACCGTACGCACCGCTGTCACATGTCGTGTTGCAGCTGGTGCCCTGCCAGCCATCGGTGCAGTTGCAGTAACCGCTGATATGGTGGCAAGCGGCTCCGTTCTGGCACGTGCAGGCATGCTCACAGTGGGGACCAAATGTGCCAAGACTGCAGGGCTCGGAGCAAACCGCTCCTCTCCAACCTACAAAGTGGAAACGACAAGACTAGCTGATAGCTTTCTAATGAATCTTTTCACTCTGGGGTTTGAATTCCACTGCATACAACGTGAGTAAAGCCATGACTAATGTAACCTAGTTTCCCAAGAACACAAGCTCTGAGTTATATATTTGGTTTACACTGTGACAAACTCACCCCGCAGATGTTGCAATTTCAATAAAATCAACCAAGACAGGATTCTTGAGCAAGTCACTGATTCTGCACCCTACTCCTTTCCCCTCTTTTAGGGTTAAGGGTCTCAATTTATAAAACTGGAACCTGCAGCCAAAGACAGGAGGAAATAGAGATCTGGAAAGCCCTCCTTTGGCAATGACGACAAACTCGCCTGGTTGGCAGAGGCAATTTCCGCTCTCATGATCGCAGTCCGCTCCGTTCTGACAGACGCAGGTATGCTGGCAGCCGTTGCCATAAAAACCTTCAGGGCAGGCATCGCCGCAGCGGTCGCCCAGCCATCCCGGAGTGCAGGAGCAGTTGCCGTTGATGGGATGGCAGAAGGCGTTGTTCAAGCAGTCACACTGCGACAGACAGCCTGAGCCATACCCATCACCTGCAGGACCAAAGGGATTATAGGATCGTCCTGATTATTAAAATATTCAGATAATCAATTAATAAAAAAATATGTAAAAAATTATTTTCAAAATCAAGAAGTCAGAGCTGAAAACCAAAGAAATAAAAATGCAGAAACTTGAAGTGTTTCTTTCTTTTTTGACTTTTTGTAATGTCAAAATGTTTTTGCTTCTGCTTCTGTGGGAACGTGGTGCAACTGATATTGAAATATTTGATCAAATTGAAAGTTGAAATTGAAATCTTCAATTATTTGAATTGAATCAGCCTTAAAAAGTCTACAAATGTATTTAAGCCCTGTAGCGTAGCAGAGTAAATCTGCGAAATGTTCTTGAATTATGGTGTGGCCTACAAGTTTATTCCGACAAGTTTACTCTGACCTTCAAGACAGTGAGCGGTGAGTGATAACACACACAACTTACATATCACTTGAGGGTGCCCTTTCTTCTTTCTGTTTTTTCTCAGTATTAAAACTGGGCAGCTTAAATAGGTCAAAGAGTCATGTTTCCATGGTCCATGACTTGATGTGCCTCACTAATGAGAGAGCGCACTTTGCTCACAGAAGGTGCAGGCTTTGATGAGCTAGTTTGGCCTTTACCTGGTCGAGGGCAAGTCTCTTGGCAGTACTCCCCAATGTATCCGGGGGCACAAGAGCACCCTCCTGTCACGTGATCGCACAGCCCTCTGTTCTCACAAAGACACTCCTGCCCACACTGGTGGCCGTAGAAACCCTCCTCGCAGGTCGTGTTGCAGACAGGGCCGATCCAGCCGTCCGTGCAGGCACAGTTCCCCGTCTCGTGGTCGCAGGTGGCATTGTTCTGGCAAAGGCAGGCTGCCTCACAGTCTTGTCCATGGAAACCTACAGCCAAAAATATAAAGGACAAAGAAAAAATGTAAACATTATTTTTGAGAAATTTGCTCTTACCATTCGCTGCTGAGCAACTGCATGATAACATCAAAACAGTTTAAGCAATATTTCTTTTATGAATTTCCAAATTGTAAACTCGATTCAGCCATCATAAAAAAAAAAAAACAGCAGTCACTCTTGTCAAACATACAAGAAAATGATTTAATTTGTGATAAATCGATGCAAATCAATATAGAAAAAACTTTTGTGTTTAAGCCTCTGCAGGGCTGGCAGAATCGGTAGTCCAACGTCCCAGGACAACCAAAATATTTTGTCGGGCAACCAAATGTTCCAGGCTGCCAGCCCGATGGGCAAGCACCCGTTTTCGGCAACACATTTTTTTACGCGGAGTTTTGGACATTTCAGCACCATGCACCGTAAAAAGATCGCAAAAAAGACCGCAAAAAACATCGACATCCTAACCTTGATGTTGCACAACTGTACATGTTCGGGTAGGTGCACCATGGTACGTACGGTCGAATAATTGGCATAAACGACACAGCTGCGTCTGTATTCACTTGTTTTCCTTGTTCCGGATCGCTAAAACTATATTCAGTCATATTACAGCTCAATTATCATCAAATTCCAATGAAATGGGGTCAGAGGTCTACCTTGTACATGTATATTTTCAAATTTTGAGCTTTTAATTATTTGTCTTACAAGATCGACAAAAGTGAGGCAGACACTTTTCCTAGTTCTGGATCGGTTTAGCCAGTTCTGGATCGCTACACATAAAAAGTAGTCAAGCGTAAACCCATTTATCTGCCAAAACCATTGTAACAAGCATATTTTCTAGTAAAGCAAGTCTTATTTTAAAGGGGATTAGTTAATTTCAGAGCATCAACATGGATAGCCTGCATAAATTTTGACTTGACTTTGCTGCTCAGTGAGCCGTTGACCACAAATCCCCCCACGCCGCAAAGTTGACAAACCCATTACGTCACGTACAAATCTGTTACGCACGTGTAGTTGAGTTCATGACGTTCGTACATGTAGGCCTACTTGCATGCGCGATCCGAAACTAGAAAAAACGTTCATGGAATCTTGCGTAGTGAGTGACCCACCGACCTGTAATTTTTTCTGGAGTTGATTTTTTTGTACTCCCGTGTTTTTTGACAAACCGTCAACAAACGTCGATGCCCGAATTGGAAATTTAGCCAGAATTCCTTTTCTTGAAATTTTCTGGGAGTAAAATTTGTACTGCAAGACTTTTATGTTACCTTTCAAAAAAGAAGTGGTCTTAGCGTGTAATGCTGCAGAGCAATAGCAAAAGGTGGGTAGGTCTAGGCATATTCATTTCAAGTGATCGGAAACTTGGAAAATGACTGTAATTACTGAAAACTTGGAGACCACGTGTGGCTAAAACTTCCTTGTCGGGCAACTGAAAATGAAATTCGGGCAACCAGATTTTAGACTCCCCTGCCCAAAGGGCAACTACATTTTTTAAAATTTCGCGAGCCCTGCTACTGTGGCACATTATGTAGACTCAAGTAATCCAATCACAAAGAGAACTTTTGCCCATCTATGGGTCAACTCTTCAAGGACCCTTTCTGGGAACTAATCCTTGCTCAACAACACCTTCTAAATCTTTTTACTCGAGAAAAAACATAACCCTTGCTTTACTTGCTGCAGTGATATCAGAGTTGTAGTTGAGTCCATTACAAGGTCCTTGCAAGTCTATCACAAGTCAATCAAAAAGTCCAGTCTAAAGCCAATTAAGTAGAAAGCTATTTAAACGGACCGTGATAAAGAGCATTCCTTTGTCACTCCTCACCCTGTGAAAGGACTCGTGACTGCAGTCATGATGGACTCAACTAAAAACTGAACGATATTCTTCTATTTATTTGAAATCTTCAGACAAACAGAATAAAAAGATACAATCAAAAACGCCGTCAGTAACTGTCATGGCTGCTCACTGCGGAGGGGAACGACTGTATGCTAAATGAATTGGAATGCCCCACTGATCCCCTGATGTGTCGACGGTCAACCCCCCCCGCATTAGTCCATTTGTAGCCGTTGCTGAGGAGTTAATCCTCCCAAGCACAGCATATGGATTGCGCTGGAATATCCATCTCACTAGCTTCCCCCTCGAAAAAACTATTCAAATGACCTAGGCTTAAAATGTTCAAGCTTAGCCACTTCATGCTGGATGGTGTGTAATAAAACAGCTGGGGATTTTGGGTGTCCAAACACGACAGACACTTACACGGTCTGGTGCATTCTGCTTGCTTTACCACACGATGTCTGTTCTAGTCTCCAAGCTCAAGTGTTCCCAATCGAATATGAACACACACAGAGGCAAAACTATTCCATGATGGTTGAGTGTGTGTGGAGCATTCAAAGTGCACGGTGGCCATGGCCGGGTTTGTGGCAAATATTGCTCTGTGAAATCGTCTTAGAGTTTTGAAAAGAAGCAGCGATGCTGTAAGAAATGCTGCACAAATCCTGAACAAATGACTGCACAGGGTCCACATTTGTAAAGTCCGACTTTGTAAAAAAGGACCGTGGTCATGTTGACTTATGAGCAGAAATGGCACCCTGCATGGACAAGTTTGTTGGTGAGTAATACCGTCGGCAAGGGGTTCAGAAAGTAGACTGATGAAAGACAGAGACTACATGTACCTTGTTCGCAAGCTTGGTCGCAGAAGACACCAACATATCCATCTGAGCAGTAGCATGTACCATTGACGTGGTCGCAAGTTGCTCCGTTTTCACACAGACAGGTCTGATTGCAATGGTTGCCATACAAACCTGAGCAAACAAACAAACAAACAAACACCCCAACAAACAAACAAACAAACAAACAAACAAACAAACAAACAAATAAATATTAAAGAGGGACCAAAAAAATACCGACTACATTGTACATTCCATTTTTACACGATCCATGTTTGACATGTGCCACACCGGCAAAAGAAAATAAGATGGGGGGCCCGGCCAGTTGGCATGTTGATTCCTTGATAATGCTTCTTATTTTGCCCTTGAAGATAGTCTTGGGCCAAGTCTTGGGCCAAGACTATATTGTTCCAGGCACCAATGAAGACAAGAAGAAAAAAAACTATTACCCAGGAATTGTCAACTGAATTTGGCACACGACTTTCAGCATGTGTTGAATGCTGGTTCTTAAAGTGGGTGAAAATGATGCATATCACATAAATCACCTGACGGACACTGCTCGTCACACAATGTCCCGGTCCACCCTGCACTGCAGTGGCACACTCCCGTCACGTGATGGGTAATGGCTCCGTTCTGACAGCCAGACAGTGATGCGCAACCGTCGCCATAGTAACCAGGGTCACAAGGTCTCTCGCAGTGGTCACCCTGCCAACCTGCTTGGCAAGTGCATTCACCTACAACCAAGAGCAAAACAGCCTCTCAAAAATCTTGATTTATTACTTGCTTCTGCAAAGCCAATAACGTACTTGCTTGTCAATCTGTTGTGTTTAGCAGGTCCACATTAGTCCAAGATCCCCTTAAGTTCAACTGCAAATTTACAATTAAATGGATATTGAATAGTAATCTAAACAGCCCAATTTGTCAGTTTCAAAACCCAATTTAAAAACTTGTGAAACTGATCAAAGGAGCCCCAAAATGGTTTGGCTCATCAGTGGGTGTGTATTTAAAGTAATATTTGTAGAGATTGAAATCATAAAAACAAATGGGCAGTTTTTGGTTTTAAATTTGGATTACCATTGACAGGATTGCAGAGCCCTTGGTTTTGGCACATACACTGCTCTCTACATTGGTATCCATAGTAACCATCATCGCATGCTTCACTGCACAGCAACCCAGTCCAGCCAGCCGTACAGTTACAGGTGCCATCCACATGATGGCAGCCAGCCTCATTCTGGCACAAGCACTGCTGCAGACATCTGTGGCCGTACTGCCCTTCTGGGCAAGTCGCATTGCAGGTCTCGCCAATGTAGCCTGACAGGCACGTGCAGATGCCATTGACGTGGTCGCATGGTGCCCCATTCTGGCAGGCGCACACCTCTTGGCAGTCCTGACCGTAGCGGCCCTGTTGACAGAGCGCCTCGCAGATCGTTCCCCGGTAGCCTGCTGCACAAGTGCACAGCCCAGAGACTGGGTCACAGTGGGCGCCGTTTTGGCAGAGGCACAGGAAGCCGCAATCCTGACCATAATGACCTAAGAGAAATTTTTAAAAATTAAACTCTCCCCCAGAGAGTAGAATTCTTGAGATGAAGGGTTAAAAAAGACAAGCTTCAATTGTCAAAATATTACCATGGAAAATTATGTTTTAAAACGGAAAATTAAAACAAGAGTTTGTTTTCAGCACAATGTCTCTTCTCTTCAGCAAGGTAACATGTATCAGACAGAACTGCATTATCAGATATTTCAGTCAGTCACCATATGATTATTACAGATTTTTATTCACAATATTTAGTTATTTATAGATCATAAGCAATCACTGGCCTCCCCTTAATGACATACAAATCATTTTCCATTTCATTTTCCATTTCATTTTCCATTTCATAAGGCGAAGCCACTCAGTATTTCATTTTATATAACTGACACAAGATCCAAGTCAAATGCATTGATTAAAGTCCTTTAAACCACTGTCAGAAACGGACAAGAATGTTGGCACATCTGTTAACGTCGCCACCATGATTGTGTGGGCATGTCAAAAAGTACAAATCGGCTCACAACCTCTTCCACGTTTGGGTTAGTGATGAACATCTTCTCAAAATGACTGAGGGTCAATTGATCTGAAGTTGCTGGAACAAGAGTGATCCTAACTGTTTAATAGTAAATCTCATTCACTGAGGGAGAACGTGAATGGTAGCACACACATCCACCGGAAAAGTGATGTGACTTTCACCAAATGACAGCGATCTGTGAGTCAGTTTCGTAATTTGACATACCTTGCATGCATTCATCCTCGCAGGAGTCACCGACCCAACCGGGCTGGCAGAGGCAGTAACCAGACACGGGATCGCAGAGAGCACCATTCTGACATGTGCACTGGGAAAGACAACTCATGCCAAACATCCCACTAGGACAGGTGGTGTTGCAAGTTGATCCCAGCCAGCCAGGGCCACAGGTGCAGCTGCCATTACGGTGGTCGCAGGAGGCGCCGTTCTCACAGGCGCAATCCAGACTGCAGTCTGGTCCATACTCTTTCACAGAAAAAAAAAAAAACACACACTTATTCCGTAGTTGTTGGAACTGCACATATTGAAACCTATTATGGGAATTTTTCAAGATGTACTTTGAGTCAGGGAGATGTTAGTTTTAGGTTATTACCCTTTTCTGACGAATATTCATAAACACTGTATACTCAGTGTTTGTCCAAGAGCTTGCGAAAAAATTCACAAACTCACTCGGTAAGCTTGTGAGACTACAAGTAACATGATACTGTTATGCAGGTTTAGGGAATGTCTCGAAGTTGGAATGCTCCTGCTCGCACAAGGATGCATCAAAACTAGTTAGAATTCAATGCGGTCCATCCTAACAGAAATGGGCCATTCTTCAGTTAGTGTGCAAACACATTGATCAGTTAAATCATAACTACTGTCTCAGACATCATGGGCCTACTGAGGTGGAATTCAAACACTGTATTCTAAGCAGAAAACTTACGTGCTATTAACCCCTTGACGGTGGGAAATTTTTTCTGGAAGCCAACTCTGAGAATTCCAGCCTCGCTTTGCAAAGAAGACCACCTGCCAAACCGCAAATTCTCGGTTTGTGGCCCTGCTTGCTCTGCACGCTTTGAATTACACAGTGAAAAGGCTTATTGTTCGGTGGCCTCTTTTCAAAGTGGGGACTATTGCGAAGCTGGTGATTATGATGCAAATTCAGTCTTTTCATTTCTGGGCTACACAAAAAGGCCAATCACCATATATACAACAGCCAGGGTCTGCCTTCTTTCACCGTGTTCGCTCGAGCGTGGGCCGAGAATAATAGCTGAAAAGCGGACTGAGGATCTCAATTTTCACAGCGGCTCTTACTGTCATCCGTGGCGAAGGGGTTAAACTCAACATGCTCTCTGACTGTACAGTTTTGGGCTCTTAGAACATGCCACAATAGAAGTCAAATGCAAATCTGTAAATACTGGGAGAGCTTTTCATTGGTTGTTGCATGAAGCAGTCTGCCCGAGCAGGCTTAACAGCTTTTAACACTTCCAGCGATGTAACAGAGCTCCAAGAAATGAGCATACCTCCTTGGGAACAAGGCTGTTCACACAGGTTCCCAATGTAGCCGTCAGCACAGAGACAATCTCCTGAGATGTGATGGCAGGACGCTCCGTTGTAGCAGAAACACTCCAATGAGCAGTCTTGGCCAAACCAACCCTCATCGCAAGGTGAATCACAATGCACACCTTTTGACAGCAACAAATTGAAACAAAAGTTTAATGAAGACAGCAATCGAATTTCTTGAAATATAAATATCATAGTTTAGATAATAGTTTAGACAATGATTATGCTAAGTAACTTCTTGGACCTCTTGTTTTGGTCAATTATTAAAAACAAACGATTGCTATATGCCGAGGATACCTTTGAAGTTTGAACCCATGTTGTATTTGAACTTTTGCTATACGCTGCCCGTGTTTGTAAATTAGAAGTTATTACAGAAAACTATGAATGGCAGCTAAGCAACTTCAACCACAAAATGGCTTAAGTCCTGAAGTTCAATTGCGCTCTTGAAAATCTTGAGAACATGTCTCCTCTGCACATTGCAATCAACATAGCATAAGCTCCAAGGGCTGAGCGTAATATGTATTTGATTCAAATATTCATGATCAAAATTGATTATTCAGAGGTGAAAGTCAATGAAAGGAAACAGAACAAGAATTCAATTGTTTGTTAACAAAACTGTATTCTAAAAATATATTTCACGGTATTGAGAGTGAACATAAAGGCAATAATGCATGTGCCCAGCAGAAAGGCAAAAAATGACTTTTTTCCAGTTGTTTCTTTTTTTTTATAATAGTTGAAGTCAGCAATTTTGCGAGGGCTAAATGAATAGATCATGAACTGGGGATGTATAACAGTTGGACTCCCAGCCTCCTTCTTTTGCTAGAGAAGTAACACTCATCCAGAAACAAAACAAGGTATCTGACTATCATGCAAACCTACCCTGCCAACCGCTGGTGCAGTAACAGTCTCCTGTCACGTGGTCGCATGTTGCCCCATTCTGGCATCGGCACTCTGCCGTGCATCCGTTACCGTAGTAACCCACCGGGCAGGACTGATTGCAAGTGGATCCAATCCAGCCGTCGGCGCAGGTGCAGAGGCCAGTCACGTGATGGCAAGTGGCACCATTCAGACAGGCGCAGGTCAAAGTGCAGCCTTCCCCAAACGTTCCCGCTGTTGGGGAGAGAAGTTGTACGTTTGACAGATTTGTTGATTTGTCCAGTCACAAGTCCGTTTACGATACCAGTCATAAATAACAGAATGAACAAGGATTTATAAAAGAATGCTCTTTTCCTAATTCATTTGGATGGCTTGTGACTTGGCGTACATGTAAGATTGCATGATGACTTGTGGTGGATGTGTGGGGACTTGTGATGGACTCAACTAATATACTACACGCTACAAATATAATTCTGCTTAGAAGCTTGTTACTGGCTGTTCATCTGTAAGTCCTAATCAAACAAACTTAAAGTCACCAGCTTAATCCTATGAGAAGGCACTTGTGAATTTTTAGGCAAGTGGGTTGAGAGTTGTTAGAGAAGAAGGTCTCTTTCCCATTTGATTTATAAACTCAACCAATTTTTCTGTTTGAAAAACTGTTAGGAATCATCCACTTTTGTCATTTTCATGAGTGTTCAGAGACAATTCTTGCATCTGGACTGCCGTCTCCCCCTCGTAAGACTGATCAAACTGTAAAGGAAAAAAATATGACTTCGATTTTTTTTTACTTATTTCTGAAAAGCCTGCATGAACCTCATACCCCTTACCACCGGCACCAACAAGGAACTAATGAAACAAAAGAATAGATGGCCCCTTTTGATGAAGTTTATAATTTTCCTGATCAAAAATTCATGTTTTAAATTTATCACAAATAATGACATTTAATGACCACATTAAGTTTATACAATATTAATTGAGCAAAAAAAAATGCTCTGCTAAAAAATTAATGGCAAATTTCCTTTTTTTCCATTAATGAAAGTGTTTTGCTAATCACTGGGTAATATGTATATGCTTTTGATGATTTCAATCTTTCTTCCAGCGTAGGAAATCAAAAACAACTCACCACTACAATGCTCCTGACAGAGATCACCGGCATAGCCTGCCGTGCAGTTACACGCACCCGTCACGTGATGGCATATCCCGCCGTTCTGGCACTGGCAGGCCAGAGCGCAGTTTGTGCCGTAGAAGCCTACATCACACTCCAGATCACACCGCTCTGACTGCCATCCGGCGCTGCAGGTGCACGCCCCTGTCACATGGTCGCAGGTTGCGCCATTATGGCACTCACACTGGTCTTGGCACTGCGCGCCGTAGTGGCCAGTGTCACAGGTCACCATGCAGGCATCACCTTGCCAACCTGGGTGGCAGGCGCAGTATCCACTGATGTGGTCGCAGATGCCATTCTCACACTCACAACTACTCTGACACTCAAGCCCAAAGTAGCCATCTGATCAATGAACAAAGGGCACAAATTTGGCGGAGGCACTTTTGCAGATATCGATTCCACTAATATCACACTGAACATTAAATTAAACCTTGTATCGCAGATATCCATTCCACTAATATCACACTGAACATTACATTAAACCCAGTATCGCAGATATCGTCACAATGCATTTGCACAGCTACAACTTATTGAGCAGCCAGACGAGGTCAAGGAATCCTTTCTCGGTTGCAATCAGTTGATCTGAATCGAATCAGATTGCTATTCACCGATTTTTCCCGGCTCTGGGCAATACCATGGGTCAACTTACGTGGACAATGCTGGCCGCACTGGTAGCCAGTGTACCCTGCCGTGCACTGGCACTGGCCAGTTGCAGGATTGCAGCTGGCACCATTCAAGCAGGAGCAGGAGTAGGCACAACCCAGACCGTAGTGTCCCTCAGGGCACACCTCGCCGCAGTGTTCACCTATAAAACCTGCACGGGCATGGAAGAAAGTTAAGCCTTCACAATGGGTGGTTCCAGTAGTTAAGTACGTGTACACATGTATGTGGGTAGCTCCAGTAGTACAGTTAAACTCTCCTTAACTGCCACAAGATAGATTCCTGTTACCTTGGAGACATCATAAGGTCAGTCAGCATTGTGATCGAGACCACTTAAGACCTTCACAATACCACACAAGACCAACACAAGATGTAGAGCCTGAATCCAATGGCGCGAGCTATTCCAATGAACTGCAACAAAAACATCCCTTTGTCATTGTTCACGCTGTTGCTTGTGTCTGGTCTTGCCATGGTCTCGACTACGACACTGCATAAGGTGGCTGCTTGGATGTACTGACTGCAAGGGTGCGCTTGGCCTAGAAGCATGTTCATGACCCGTTACTGGTTCCCTCCAACAAGGGGATCTGCATATGATACCTGGTTGTCGAACCAGGCCGCAAGCTACTCGAATGAACCACGGTGACAGAGGAATAAGAATGGTTAGTTTCTGCTAAATTCCTAACCCCGCCCTGTCAACCTGCATACTGGAAATCAACCCAGGATGAAAATATCCTCAAGTACTGATACAATTAAACCACGTCAGTCTTAATTCCACCTTTCAGTCTGTTTCGTTGAAAAGAGTGATTTTGGTGCAGAGTGTTCATTTGTTGATAGCGACGCAATTGTAGAATGTGCATTTCCTACGGTAGAAGCCTTGGTTGCTCGGAAACCCGTGCCCTATCTTGGTCCCGCTCATGGTGGACAAGAGAGAGCATCTCTGAAGCAGAAGAAGCTACCATTTCCCTTAACCTTAGCTGCTTCATGATCTTTTACAAGGTAATTTAACTCTTGCTGTGTTCCCCTCCCAGGACACTTCAAGGTTTGCATGTACAGTAATAGGCTCATAAGTGGCTGCAGAAAATGTCTGGCCAAATCATTTGCTCTTCGGATTTGCTGAGAATTTAAGATCCCACCTTCTGTGCAATAGCATGCCCCAGTCACGTGGTTGCACACGGCGCCATTCAGGCACAGGCATGTGGCGCTGCAGTTGGTGCCATAGGATCCCTGGTCACAAGGTTGATTGCAGACTTCCCCAATCCAGCCAGGTGTGCACCTACACTCTCCTGTTTGGCAGAATCAGGTGGATAAAGACAGAAACACACATGAATGTCTCATCAGCAGTTCAGTTCACTGTTTCTGTCATAACCAATTAAACTCACAGAAACTTGGTGATGCTTGCGAACCTTAAAGTAAAGGCGAGAGAGTTTTTGTTTGTGTCAACCACGTAAAAGTCTGGGTTTCTTTACGTTCTTTCACAGATAAAGTAAATGTGAAAGAACAAGGGGGAAGACAAGATCCAACATTTCATACAGAGTGCATTTGGGTAGCTCCCATCATCTGACTCGGGTTCATGCATCTTTCACATTGAATGCAAGAGCATATTCAGTGGCCTCTTGTGCCTTGTGATGGGCCTCTTGCATTAAAGAAAACAATGCAGTGGGATAATCTAGCACCACAGACAATTATTTATTTATGGGATAAATTGTTATATTTTTGTTGAGCAAAGGCCCTTACAATATTTATGAATATTTATATGTTCAATCAATTACTGAATATGCAAATCTTTATTCTTGGTTAAAGTATTTCTTAGTGCAATACAATGCAAGTAAACAGAACAAACTCAGGTTTTTTTTAAACAAAATTGCCTTCTTCCAGCTTAATTTCCCCCACATAATAGTTCTAACTATGTTTACAATTTAATCCTGAGTTATTGTACCAATTATATATGGTGTTTCATGAATCAATAAATCATTCTCTGTGGGCTTTGGGCTGCCCGAAGATTTATTGTACAGCCAAGTATTTTTTTCAAATTTCAGGTCAAGTTTCCAATTATTTGATCTGACTCGGCCCTAGTTCAACTAACTGAAACTACTTGAGAAGCTGATGGCTTCCTTTGAGAAAGCGCATGAGCACTTGCCCCAAAAGTCAAGCCAGAAACTCCTGAAAAAATACAATGCAGGGAAAAGGAAAACATGACGAAACGGTGACGGATTTTTAGTTTGGGTTGATAACAAGTGTGCATGATGCAAACGAAAAAGCTACTTGTTTAGTGAAAGCCGTAACAAAACACGGAATGAATTTGACTACATAAAAAGTACGATGGGAGAGAAATGTTTCAAAAGGAGGACATGGTTATCCTGCACCCTTACTTACCATTCACCGGGTCACAGGTAGCGTTATTCTGACACTGGCAGAGATGTCGACAGTCCAAGCCATAGCTGCCCTGGCAAGGTTCTCCACAGGTATCGCCCTGCCAGCCAGCAGTACACCAACAGTGACCTGTACAACCAAAAATGAATCAATTGAAAACTCTCAAATTCTAGATAACGAGGTGCCATTCAAATCGGACACGAATGAAGCTCCACATCAAGGGAAAGTAGATCTTTATTGGTGTTTATATATACTTGGCTTTAAAAAAATATTCAGAAAGACGTTAGAAAGTATATCCTTTTCTTTACGGAACTAAATTGAATACGTCATGCGTACTATTATGTGTGTAAAAGGCATTAGCATGGAAATCAGTGTGTGAACCAAAACGCAGGTGTACTCCATTCATTTGCACTACACTTCCTGGTTTACATGAGTCATACTTCAATACTCTTTTGGTCCAGACCAAGTTATGTGGGTGGTTTTTAATCGCTGATAAAAATACTAACTTGTTTAAACACTTTTCCTTTGTTCATATGACACTGTGACTCAGCGCTGTACGGTGCGACCAAAACAGTTGCATTTGTGCCTAAAAAAATGATGATGTGCAACCCAATGTTTAATTCTTATCGTCAATGCCGACAATGATTTGTGGCCGTTAGTTGCCCACCTTGTCAGTCATATTTCATGAACGATCGCTGCCCAGTTTTCTTCGACATGCATTGAGCGATGCGTCTCTATATGACCATGCGGTTATGCTCTGTCTTACTATGTACACAGCATGTGCCCACATTAACTGCAGCGTAGCTACATGTACATATGGGTACATTCACGCACATACAGGTACTAGGTACCCGAGTCGACTGGTATGGAGAGCTGGGATGTTGCTTGTATTCATTAGCAGATGCACAAGCAGTCTATGCACGAGCTGGTCCGGTCTCAAGTACAAAATACTCGAATGTAAGAGAACAAACATGCTTTGTCTTTTCTTTCAGCTTTTTTTTCATATAACATGGGTGCCATTTTTGATTTATTCCACAAGCCCAAAATCCAAAGCCTGTCTGTCCTGCAGATAACTGAAAGAAAAATGTTTCTGTGTGCTTTTCCAGATTTTGTACATACTGTAGGTCTAACTTGTGTAGTTTGCAAATGTGTGTACAGCGTGTACAAAAAAATCGACCTGGCGCCTAACTTTTTCCCTAGGAGCCAGTGGCTCCAGATTTTAATTTTCTCCACACAGCACCGCCGTGACTCCTATTTCATGGACTGCGCCACTCACATGACAATCCTCATTGCCAAGCAGGCAAATGCAAAACCAATATAACATGTATACGCAATTATGCATTTTAGAGTCTGAATTTCACTCCTCGCTGGCTAAGTTGTGTTCTATGTCACGTCGCAGCATGTGCATGCACTCCCAAATTTCCACGCAAGGAAATTTTTGTTAAGAACAGCGCATGTAAGGCACATACTTGTACCACAAATATGGCTGACGGGTACAAGGTAAAAGTGACGAATAAAACTGTTGGGAATGTAGGAATTGTCGACTCTTTAGTACTTTTTTACCCAACAGCAGTAAAGAAAATTCCTGTTTTACAAAGTAGCCAGCCACAGTGTACAAATCATGAATGTGACTATACTTGCACGGCACCTGTTTCTTTGTCACAGTGGGCCCCATTCTGGCACTGACAAGTATTTGAGCATCCGTTGCCGTAGAAACCTTCCTGGCATGCATTCTCGCACATCGTGCCTTCCCAGCCTGGCTGACAGCTGCAGCTACCATTTACATGATGGCAAGATGCTCCATTCTGACACCCACAGACACCGTTACACCCTACAAGGAGAACACATCACTTGCACTCATGACCACTCCTCACCGGTGTTTTAACGACATCTATAGGGAGTATGTGTCTTCCCCCCAACAAAAGTCTGTGTCTCCTAGGTGGTTCCCCACCATCCCCTGCCCCATTTGAAATTTTACAAAGTCCACAATCTATGCACAAGCCACAGTTAACTTGAATCAGTGCACCCTTGGAAAATATGTAAAGCCCTGGGTTCCCTACGAAATTTCACTCTACTCAACACGTCTGTTCATTGTTCCCCCAAAGTAAGGCTAACCAAGCAAAAAACTAATTCCCCAAATATTAAGCATACTAAGTGGAATTCAGTACTGGAGTCATTAAGATTTTAAAAGCTGGACTTGGCAAGACAGAAATTCCCTTTCCAATGGCTATGATAATGTGAATCTTAGGCTGTGTCTGAATCACTTGGCTGGGGACTTGAAAATGCACACAACACTGGGAACGCTGTAGCCACTTACCGGGACTTGTGCAGAAGTTTAGGCTATAGCCAAGTAATTTTGACAAGTTGAAAGTACATGTAGGAAAACCTGTACTGTACCTTCACCATAGGTCCCTGCAGGACAGGTTGCATCGCACAGGGCCCCCGTCCATCCACTGTGACAGCTGCACAGTCCTGTCTGGTGGTCGCACTGGCTTGAGTTGCGCCGGCACTGGCAACTGGATGAGCAGTGGTCTCCGTAGAACCCCTCCGCGCAGGGCTGGCTGCAGGTGCTCCCCTGCCACCCCGGCAGGCAGGAACACGCCCCCGATGCCGGGTCGCATGCCGCGCCGTTCTGACAGCTGCAGGTGGAGGCGCAGTTCTGGCCGTAGTGCCCTGCCTGGCATGTGTGCTCACAGCGGGATCCCTCGTAGCCTGGGGAGCACGTACAGGTGTTGGGGGCGGTGCAGACACCTTGGCCTGATATGCAGGTCGGGTCACATATAGCTGGAAAAATACAAACCAGGTTTGGTACATGATTTAATGCCAATTAATTAGCCCTCTCAAAAGGTGATCCTGTGCTGGGCAATGCCAAATAAAGAAATGGACATTTGGTGATGTAGTTACTGACAGGTCTCTGGAAATTCAGGATTATTAAGAAGCACTCCAAAAAGGAGCAGGACCCTTGGAACTCAGCCAAGCAGTACTCGGGTACTGGCAGTCTGTCTACTCAGATGCACAATGTTATACAGGATTTTCAAAGATTTCAATCAGAACAGGATGTGTGGGTCTGCTTCAAGAAGCTCATCATTCATGAGGTAAAAAAAAAGTTCATATACATGTATGTGTCCATTCATCTCCAACATGCTCATATACGTACACATGTAAATAAAATAAACATGAATATTTAACAGCTGATAGAGGGCCTGCGTACAACGTCACGTTAGAGGGCATTTCCTTCTTCCTCTAGGATAGGCTCGAGTAAAACCTTTTGTGCATTCATTGTCATTGTCATTGAATCTAAATAACAAAGCATGTCCTCTGGGACATGTGGGAGGGAGCTCCACGCAGGCCCTCTGGTCCCGGTGATTAGTACACAGCAACACACAAAAAGCTATACAAATTCTTCAAGGAATCAGTTCAAATAATTAACTTTTCCTAGGTTTCATATGGGCTGCCAAAGTTTGCAGAAAGTCTGTTTACTGTTAGCTGACCACAATGCCCAAAGTCCAAGGCCGTTTTCCAATTCTCGACTTGGGCTCCGTCTCAGGCTTCAACTGCATTTTTTTCTTCCTGACTTTGAGGTTATAAGCGCAATAGTAGGTCTGAAAGTGCCACAAAACTTCAGACAAACAAAGTTAAAGTTAAACACTTCAGGCCCACAATCGAGGATTGGTTTCCTACACGAAGCCTGAGATGGAGACAAAGTTGAGTATTGGAAAACGTCCTAAGACAATGTTACTTAATCTGAATCATATAGTCGGCAAAGCCTCCATCAGGAAACATCACACCAACTTGAGGTTAGCTTGGGGGTGGAGCTAGACGTGTCTTTCAGTAGCCTAGGCCGTGTCCGAAACGGGCTTCCAGAGCTACGGCTAAGTTTATTGTCTACACGTCTCCACGTATTTCCAATGGAGTGAAGACATAGACCTAGCTCTAGACATGAGATTCGGACGCAGCCTTATTTACAAGCACTAAACAATTACAAAGGTCGGCTCTAAAGGTTACATGCGATGTTTTTCCAAATTCAACAATAGTAGATATGAGAGACTATTCCAATCCTTGACTGTCAGTGGAAAGAAGCTGTTGCTGAAGGCACTGGTTCAGGCATACAGTTGGTTTAATTTATACTTGTGTCGCCGAGATGATCGCATGTTTGTAGTGACAAAAGCCTCTACTCCGAGTACCGGTACATCAACAATGCTATTCAGAATCTTACTGAGAATGACTAAACAACTGATTTTTCCTTGTTGCTATAGAGTAAGCCACCCATGCTCTCAGAGAAGTGATGTACATGTTACTGTCCCTGGTGACGGGCTATAATTGTTATAGATGAATCTTACTGCCAGTCTTTGAACTCGCTCCAGGGGATGAATGTCTGACCTCAAATAAGGATGAAGCATATTCAAGGATGGAACGAACAAACGTCTTGTAGGCTGTTTCTTAAAAGTTTATTATTAGTACTGCAAAACCACAAATTCCGTTTGATTAATCCACATATCTTTGGAGATATTTTTACCACTTCAGAAACGACGTGTCCTCTCTACTTAATAACAGGGGCAGGCTTAATCATAGCAGGGTTGATTGCAGTGTGCTGTGTCCTGTGAGAGATTTTTCAACAGTCATGACAGTGAATTCTTTGTCCTTGTACCAAATGATGTAGTTTAGGCCTACTTACAGACAAAACTTCAATAAGGACTGGTCATGTACTGATGTAGGATACGTCGCGCACGGTCCCGCTCCCCAGACCTGTGGCGTTCCACGTCCACCGTCCTCCATGAACCTGGGAGGGGACCGCGGCGGTCGGACGTCGGAGTCTCGGACCTCACAGTTCTAGGGATACACGTGGGCCCGTGACGGCGCAAGTTCAAGACATAGTACATGCATGGTAAATAGTCCAAAATTTCACATTTCCAACATTACAAGGTATCGGTATTAACTATCCGATCCTGCACCAGTTCACTGCATCGGGGATCAATAAATATTACGCCCCTTCCGACTGCCAAGACAGAAAGAGGGCAAACCCTTCGAACCATGCCACAAAAGTGCACGTACACTGTACACTAATGTCATTGAATGCGTTCTCATTGAGATCGCATGCTGTGCCACAAGTGTGAGCCATGTCAAGATCCAGTATCTAGCGGCTGCGGCTTCGAACTTTGCCGTTGCCAAGCTGCGGTCAAGATTCGTACTATCAATGGCTGCAGCCGATGCCTGAGACTGGGATACGACTGTTCCTCCATACGTTGGGTTAGAGCGAGGCGTGTTGCTAACACAGTCTACAGGATAGCGCGAATTGTTCAAAATATTTTCCTTTATCACAAATATATTTGCAAAGAAAGTTATCCAAGGCAAATATAAAAAAACAAAAGTGCAAAAGTTTTAAAAAGGAATATTCAGTGATTTGTAAGCAACACTGAAGTAGGCCTATGTATTAGGACTGGAGTTGTCAGAGGCAAGTAAATCGATTTTTGACATATCATGTACATGTATCATACTGATACGTATCGATACTGTTAAAACAACAGAATCACACATTAAATGTATTCGACTTTCAACCAGATCTCCTGGTCAGTTAATGACTTGCCGTTGGACGTTGTCTTCAATTTCGTAAGTGTCACATTCCTGTATAAAAAAACGGTTACAAAAAAATCTCATGAAAATTATGACACTGAGACACCGGCCCTAGGAAATCAACGAATGTCACCGCTCCAAGAGACTACATCTTTTATTTGCGTAACATCTTGGAAGAATTTATTCAGGTGTCGAATATATTACAAAATTTCGCTGACGGTTGGTGTTATTCTGAATGAACAAAATTGCACGGAGGAAAAGTGAGTGTATGAGCTTCCCCGCGACGGTTGTGTTCGTCATATTAGTTTGACTATCACTAGTTGTCTACGAAATGCGGAGGGCTTTCTCGCGTAAAACATTCATGGTTTTCGGGAAAAGGAACTTACTTGACATTTCACTCGAGCTTCCTCTGGAAGGCGCTTTTTTCAGCCTTATTCAGTCAAAATTCAGAGTAATTTTCACTCTAAAACGTCTCGTTCTTAATTTCACTCTTTTCGGTTTAGAGAGTATAGAAAACCAACAGATTTAATACAAAACAGCGTGGTTGGCCTACAATGACAAATCAGACCAAAGCTGTCATCATACCGTGTTACCCTCTGTACGAACTTTCGTCTCACCAGCGTAAACTCTCTGATTACAGGCCTAATTGAAAAACCAAATTTCCCTTTCGAATCCACGTCCTGAAGGAGGAAATCACTGAAAAACAAGACAATATTAAATACTGATAAAAACTACAGCGGTGCGTTGAGAAATCTGTGGTGGGCGGGGGGACGATCGGAAGGCAAGTGCTATACTAGGCGGGAAAAGGAAGCTATGAAATGAGGTGATAATGTGCGCCTTTTCCTGCAAAGGTTTTTATTGCAGATAAGCTCTGTCGCTGCGGTGACGCCGCGGCCTATGTCAGGTTTAAGTCTGGGTAAAATGGGGATTTTTTTTGTCGTTGTAATCATCGTCCTTGCCATCGGTAGAAATTCTGTCTTAATATCGTTGCTATACAGTTGGCCTTTCAATTCCTAAAACTGAGACAAAATTCCCGGAGACTTTCTCACTGCCCCGCCATCACTACGTCACTTGCTGCTTTTTTTCAAATGATTTTTGAGATAAATGCTAAACCGTAGGCTACTAAATTTCCCAAAACAAACCAGGCCTCGATTGACCCAATTTACGAGGAAAGACATCCTTGTATTCTGTCAATTTAGTTTCAGGAGAGATGAAAAGGGTTTTTTTTTTCTCTGAACGAACACACCAGGCTTATATGGCTGCCGCGGTAAGGCTAATTTTGACAGGTAGCTGCAGCTCAGAAATCCCACGGAATGCGTGAAATATTAACACAAACAAAGCTGAAAGCCACTCTACGGAGGAGTTGCCTTTTGATGTCGGGTTAATTTCAGTCCCGTTTTTATTTCTGGGTTGTGCGTCCGAATCAGGTCAACACTCGTCACAGCACCACGTCAACAAGTTGTCATCCATGTGCGACATCATCAGTTCTGGCGAAATCTGTAAACCAAAAGGAAAGAGATTGTTCGAAAACGTGGATATTGTATTTGTTCGCGCAGATGGGTATCAAAGATACACAACTTGTCCCAATTAAAGCCCGACAAGAGATGTTCTGTACGTCCCAAAATCTTATCGAAGAGCTTGATTAATTTACTTCCCATTTCCCATCATGTCTTTTCTCATGAATCGTAAGTGCGGCAGAGTTAAGTTCGCGTCATCGCATTTTTCCTGTATCGATACCTTACTGACTCCATGTGACCTGGGTTCCAATCCTACTCGAGTTGACATTGGGATTTTTTCACTCCTGATGCGGTGTGTTTTTTCCAGAATGTTACCGGTATTTTACCAGGGTTTATTTTTAAACCTTTACGGAAACACGTATTTCCTCTGGGAGAGCAGTTCTTGGTATTTGATTGCGTTATCCAGAGATAAATGAAACGATTACAAAAACAAGACAAAGTGTTGAGCCGCTTGAAAATCAAAACTTATAATTATGCTGCATACCTCGACCTTTTGCGCATTCCAAGGTATGGATTCCGTCATAAAAATGTATTTTCTCCTGCGAGCGTTGATTCAAGCAGGGAGAAAAGCTGTCCACGTAACTATGGTTACTGTGACAAAAGAATCAGTAAGAACATTTGAATTAAAGATGTGAATGTGTTGCATTATACATTATTTCACAATCGGCATTTTGCAAATCATTTCCAAATTCAAAAACAAAACGCTTCGATAGGCCTAATGAGTATGAAAAGAAACATTGCTGTGGCTGAAACTTTCATTATCACTAAACTAAAGGCTACTATAATTGTACAAAACTAGTTGCTAAATCGACTATAATTCATTAGTCCAAAGTGTTTTATCACAATTAAAATCTCCACTTACGAGGCGGTATATGTACAGTAGAAGTCACAGCATAAATAAATCCAAGAAGAGATTGGGATGAGTGAAGATGATGAATACCATGTCTGCTATAGCTGTCATGCCAAAGACCGACCACTGTGCTGACTTCATTCGTCAAACCTTGCGTCGAGCAAGAAAACGTTGTTATTTGCTGCCCAGAAGCTTATAGGCATGCAGGATGGCCGTCACGTCGACAAGTCGACACCGAGAGAGTTATGGGTTGGAGGTTGGGCTTATTTACTGATCTTATTTACCGCTCATAGTGCGTGGTTAATCATTGTAAAAAGTGCAAAGTTGCTGTTACAGTTCATGATCATTATTTATTACTCAACAGAAAGTTAGCGCTTGGTAAGCCATGCTTCCATTCATGGCCGGATTCAGACCAATTTTTTGTCGGGAGGGGGCAACCTAACCAGCGTCCCTGGTGCACTTTTGCATTAACTGATCGCACCAGTCACAATTAAGCAGCTGCTCAGAAACAATTTCCTGAACAAAATGGCTCTGTCCATACAATACTTCATCGGTGGGGGGGGGGTTAGCCCCCATTGCACCCCCCCGGATCCACTCTTGCTTTCACTGAGGTGTACAGTTCATGCCATGAACTTCAAAACACAACACCATCGTGTTACACGAATGCATCGATTCAACACTTGGTATTACATGGGTGGCCCGATTTAGACGGGTTTCGAACATGCAGTTCAATAGTTTTCAAGTTCTGTCTCAATTCTCGAAAGCTATCGAAACTGAAAAACTTCAATAACTGTTGCATTTCGATATGTAGGCACCTCCTCGATGACCATTACAACTTACGCAGAAGGCAATTATCTCTTGCCGGGTTGTACCGCCAACCTGTGCAGCACACTCTCCGTTGTCTCCTGCTCGTTCGATACCGCTGTCGGTATCCAGTGCTATAGACATAACTGGAAGGAAAATCAAATGTTTCTTGGGTTATGGACACGTTTTATAGGCAACAATCGCACCATGCGCACTTTCAAACATTGCGTCAGCATCACTTATCACGAAAACTACATGGGAGACAGGAAACCGGGCGTCTTTGTACAGTTCCCTTCAGTTCCTTTTTGATAAAAAAGGAATCAAAATGAAAGAAGCACCAGATGCTTTTTGAACAGATGGCTAGGAGAGTATTGTCTTACGGCAGCCTGTTTAATTGGTCTTAGATTTTAATAGATTTTTCCCAGTTATTTTAAAAGAATTTACATTTCATTTAAAGCATTCGAATATTCAATACGGCGTGGAATTAAATGATGCTCCATGATGGTCATTCGATTTTGTTAAATAAGTTTAACGATTTGCAAAGTTACTGTAGTATCATTAGATGCAACAAAAGGAACCATCCGAACAACACTGAAATTCATAGCGCCTTTCGCAGGTCACATTTGATCAGTAAAATTCATCATTATGCAACCATCTTTAGAATTCTTTTTTTGCCACCTAACCATCCTTAATTTCCTTAATTGGAATGGCAGAGGCATACAGTCTTTCGTTACACTTAGGGCCAGGAATCACCTTTCAGTTTTAACACCTGCTGTTCACCATGTACACGTCGTTTTAAAATACTGATTCGACAATGCTTGATTGAGGCCTTCGAGCTCAGGGGAAAGAATGGGACGACCTCCAGCTTGATACCGTAATTTAAACATTAAGGGGTCCGCAGCCAGATCATTATTTTATTTGTAAGGGGAGAAAAGCTGCACATTTCTTCTAAATTTTCAATATGCGAAATTGATCACGATAACTTCAAGGATGACCGTTATTCTCCTCCTACTTTTGTGTGTACCTTTAATGAGTCAAGCAAGTTTTCAAGAAAATCGCTGAAAAAAGACGACATTTTATGAATTACAAGGAGAAAGTATGGAACCATGTGCCTCTTGTCACAGTGCGATTTGCCGAAATTCAACATGGTTTGCCATTGCATGGCAAAAGACAAAATTGTTTTAGGACAGTTGTTTTATGATTTTGTTAAAGACGTATTGTTATGCGCAGTTGAAAACGGTCATGTTGATATCTGCGCACTAGAAATGAACTCGAGCGTTACTCGCCGAAAATGTGTGCTCCCAGTTTTGAATTCGATTAAACAGTTGAAATTATGTGAGAACAGACAAAAGTGACCGTTCAAAGAGCACAAAAGTGATTCCACTGCACGAATGTACCTGGAACTTGAATAACAAATGTTTTCAAATATGATACACTTACAAGAACTTGGGGCTACTGGGCCGTCCGACAGGTATGGCGGCTGTTCCTACTATAATGGAACATAGCAGTTGTAGCAGCCGACAGCGACAGACTTACCGATGCTTTTTACATCGTCCCCAGCCTAAGAAACCACACCCGATGGAGTAATTTTGCCGTCTTTTTACGGATACTGTTCCGCTGTAGGATGTCCTGTACCTGGAAGTTTATGTAAACATCAAACTTATTAACTTATAGGTAGCTAGGCTAATAATTCTACTTCCGTTAAATTTTGTTTTCAGTAAATTTTTTAAAAAAAGGCAAAACCGAAGGAAAAACTTCGATGCTTGCTTTGCTGTTAGAATGGAGTAGTCGTCCCCTCAAGTACAAACGAAGTACAAATGAGATTATTATAAAATCATACTCTCGCAGAAAAAAAAACACTGAACAAAAAGCAAAACCCAAACAGCAAACAGAAGGAAAACTTGTAAAAACACCACTTACGTTTCCGTGCGCAAACACGTGTGGGCATCGGAACTTGATAAAGCCCAACTTGGCGCCAAAAGGAGACAGAAATATAGGCCTACAGTGAGAGTGTGGATCAACATCACCGTTCAGTGCTGCTGCAATGTCTTCTTGGACAAGGTCGATTTCCCTTTATTTCGATTGCTTGCAGAGCACTCAGAGTAATGTTCCCAGTGGTCCTCCCTTGCACAACCGTGTCCCGAAATTGTCACGTTTAAAATTACCCAAAACAGTGAAGTATTTGGAATGGTTGCCTGGCCCTGAAATGTGCACGTAACAGAAATCACTGTTGAGATTTGCTTGAATGGCAAAACTCGAAAAGTCGGGCTATGTCGGTTGACAGTTCACAGAGAAGTGATGCATTCATCAAGAACAAAGCTGATTTGGATTGGGTTTTTTTGCAAGCAACTGCCGAAATACGCTTCCTGTATACCGTGGCAGTTTCCGTTGCCATAAATCAACATCATGCCATGTAAACACGCGGTGTTCTAATTTGTTAAATGTCGAGAATTCCAGGGACTTCCGTTGATCCATGACCCACAAGCTCAACACAAAATAAGACACGCAATAATGATACAATAAATACATAATCTTTCCACCTCTGGGACTTTTGTCGGCGTAAAATCCCACGAATGTGCAACTGTTCCGAAAGGCATTTTTGATGTCACGCCTTGGCATACGTCCAAAAGTCATGTTAACGCAATCGATAACATATTAATGTAAGCGATCCTAGGTTTCTGTGGGACCAGATTTTTTGAACCAAATAAGAATAAAACACAACAAACACCACCGAGCCAGCTTGTCTGTTTGTGTGGTTTAATCATTACAAGAAAAGAATGTAACATAATTTTACATCATTCTTTTCCTAGATTTAAATTTATCACTAAACATTTTAATCCCTTTAGCAGTGAGCAAAAAGTGTCATTGAGCACTTTATAACGCTAGCCATTATTTCACCCAAGTGGAAAACAAAAGCTGTAGAATGTGTCACCCTCAGGGAACGCTACAAGTCAACACGCTAATGGGAGGGGGACTTTGGCTTCTAACAAGTCTCGTTTCCCAAATGATGATGTACCAGTACATACCGTATTCCATGTCCCTCTCGGTAGCCTCGTCCATTGCCTCAGCGTAGAATTGACAGCAATCGGTGCAAATAATGGGGCATAAATGAGACCCCTGTCTATAATGGCCGGCTACCGTGTAAAGGGGCACCGACATTTCGTGCTACATGTACCTAAACATTAGTTTAGAGTTAGCGTGTAAGTTTTAGTTATTCTTTTAGGTTTTTACTCGAGCCTAGAGTTTTACCAACGGTACAAGAAAGGCCAAAACCTGATTTTTGACGGGATGCTACTTTCGAGTGGGCCAATACTTTGTCTATTCTGCCCCCGTTCCAATCACGTCTTCCAACACTTACGCATCAGGCAGTCATTCGTAACTGATCTGTATTCCCATCCCTCGCAACATTCAGTGATAATTCGCCTTCGGAGTCGATACTGTTGTCGGTACTGAGTAGTATACACATGCCTGTAAAATATACAAAACACAATCAGTACAGTAATATCTTCTAATCCCATGTTACCAGATTGTTTCTTAATATCATTATTCTGAGTTTTATTATTTCTTAATAAGAACGGTTTCCTAACACAATATGAAATCGCAACAGAGCTAACCATTCACATTTTCATAGTGTTTCTGCAGACAGAAGTTCCTGAGATTGCATTAACGTCCTCATGAGCGCACGCGACGGGATACTATTTTTCGCCAACTGGTGGCAGTGTTCATTATTAAGAGCTAGGGAAATCCGATTTTAATAAAGGCTATAGTCATGTCTCTGGATGGGAGAGAAGTAGATTCGAACATCTTAACGGGGGAGGGGAGTCCACGAGGTTTGAAGACTAGTCTTCTCTCAAGAAGAACCATTTTCCCTTAGGAAAGTAAATGGTCTATATCCAGACAGTTGTGCGATAAAAAAGAGAAACAGAAACAAAACAGGCGGTCGGGGACACGGTTACGCCATTGCTTCTCAAGTCGAAGCTTAAAAATAGAATCGTTTGGAATGCGCTTAATGCTGTCCACACAGTAAAATCGGACAGTAAAAACTGGGCCTATACGTCTAATGAGGCTGGCTTGCGACAAATGTTAATATAATCAACTCCGAGCACAAGTACCCCCAACGATATCTCCAGCAAGATACGAGACGGAGGGGTATTCCGCTGCATGTCCAATCCCTATGCGCACTCTAGACTATTGCTACCTATCACATCCCCCCCCCCGATGTTTGAAAAGAATTCCTAAGATTCCAATGAAACAATGACCGATGACACAAAGGTGGAGGTACACTCTGTCCCGTATCTTCCTTCAAATGCCTCAAGAGAGGAGTTAGAGTGACAATAAGGTGCTAAATGTCGCTGTACCCAAGTGGCAGGCCCGAGACTTTCGGAAAAAAATTGCCTCAGTCAATCCCCTCTAAAACAATAATGGGTACGCTCATGAATCGTGCCATTTAAAAAAACACACAAAAGATCAATGCTTGGTCTGCAGTGTTGAGGATTCGCATCCCCTCCCAAGAAAAGGCCTAGTTACTGGCCTGAGTGGCATATTCAGCGAGGGGAAGGGAAGTTGACGCCCCCTCCCAGGATATGTTTCCAATCTTTTACATTTCATTTGAAACGTTTTGAGAGATAGAAAGCACCAGCAATTTATAGACAGAACAACCACCTTTCCGGGGAAGGAGGTACGCCACTGTCCTTTCCACAGGGCTGGGCCATTCAATAGGCACAGCCACATTGCAACGCTAAGGGCCAACAAGAAACCCGGAGCCTACGAATTGCGTGTTGGAGTGTGCTAAATGCTCACACGAATTGCGTGTTGGGTGTGGCCCTAAATGCGTACACTATTGCAAAAGATTCAGACTGAGGCCGTGTCCGAAACGAGCTTCCAGAGCTACGGCTTGGTCTATTGTCTACGCGTCTCCACGCATTTCCAATGGATTTCCAATTTCCAATGGATTCCTAGCTCTAGACAAAAGATTCGGATTCAGACTGAATGTGCGTTTTCAGATAGCTCTAAACTTGCGGGCACATACATCGGTAAAGCTGATGGTTTTGACATGAATGCGTTGTGAAACTGGTCGCTGAGCCTCTGAGACACCGCTGCCTAGGCCTACGGATCACGTAACTCCGGCCCCTTAAACTGTACCAAAGCCATTACACTGAACGATCCTGGGAGTGAGGGGCCCGGGAGGCTACTACCCCCCCCTCCGAAGCCGGCAAAACGTTTTAATGTAATTTTTAAAGCTTTTGTTGTAAATTTAATTTCTTTTCCTTTCACAACAGTGTAAAAGCCCTCAAAATGTAGCCTGTACCCTGATAGAAATCACAAAGGGTCACATTATAAACCCAAATGTGTGGCGCCCCAACATCCCCCAACATATTGGTCAGGTACCCGCCCCTCAGCCTACCGGTATCTTTTGCAGTAGGCCCATCCACATCGTCTTGTGTAGTACTTCTTCAAGAAAACAGTATAGGGACTTTGATACATGACAATTTCTCTGAAAGAAAAAAGGACAGGCCTATGGTATGAACAAAACTATTTTTTTCAAAATCTGATATCCTCTTGACAGTAGTTAAATATTTCAAATCTAGGAAGCCTCATTCAATTAAAAATATTGAAAAAAACTGAAATAGCCACATTCAAGTGATTAAAGCAGAGAATGAAATGAAAGGATCGGTCACTATGTCTGGATCTTTCCAACTCGCTACGTTTCACTAGTTAAAAACTACACTATAAAACTGCAGAGCTATATACATCATGACATTTTATATGCTTGAGAAAATGGAGCTAACCAGAAATCTCTTTCGAAATATATTTTTTTCAGGACACTGTCTTAGCATAATAAATAGCATCCCAAGTCTGTTGTCAACAAGAAGACTTGGTCATTAAAACTTGTTTTTTTTTCTCTCATAAATCTCAATTCCATTTTCCTTAAAACTTTGTTAAATATTCCTGTAAAACATGCATGCACGGCAAGCTTAACTTACGTCTGTTGGCGGGTGCAGGTGTTGTCATCGAGCCGTGTCAAGGCGAAAGATGCAGCCGGCAGGAGACAGCAATACAAGGCGAAGGTGTGCAAGACAAGCATGGTCCCACTCTGTCCCTTCGTCGAAATCACTAGAATATACCGCTACATGCACGGCTTGTGACAAGTTGCCCAGTTCACGATACAACGTCCCGCGAAAAAGGTTCACCGTTTACGGGTTTGAATTTAACGACAGCAATATAGAACTCCGCCAACCGGTCGGCCTCCTAAAACAACTTCTAATGACAAGCCTTACGCGACGAAAAGATGTCCGAAATCTGGACCAGAATAAAAAGATTCCAAATGATGAACGAAATCTTGAAATTACTGCGGGTCGAAAGATTTCAGTTCAGCAGCAAGGTTGAAATTGACCAACAAAATGATCACTTTGGTCGTGGAACGACAAACAACGGAAAACATTTTATTGCTTCCCGGTGTGTAGCGTCACATCCGTTTCTTCCAAGACAACAAAAGAAAATAAAAAACAGTAGGCAATTAAGATCGAAAGTTGCTTTCTTTTCCCTAATCGAAATGAACCAGTGTACAGGTGTTAAAGCTTGACGATAGATGTTAAATTCAATTCTTATGTGGTTTTTGGAAAGGAAAACTTGTTCTATTTTTTACTTGACGCATTGATATCACTACACAATAAGTGCGGTGGCTAAGTTCACGACTCGCTATAGTTTGTCAGTTGGAAGTCCTTCCCATCAAAAGAAATGACTTTGTTCCGGTTCAATGACTTGCAATTACAAGGCACGGTTTATTTCCAAGTTCATCAGGGAGACAGAGCCAGCAAAAGGCTTGCATTTGCCAATGCCTAAGAAAGAACCACTGTTTTCTCTTTGAAAATTACAGTTTATATTCAAGTACTTGCTAGTCTATAAAACGTCTGCTCGACGTGGATATGTTTTTTTCTTTATCCTTCAGTGCTAAACCTGTAACTTTATCTTGCGTGACCGGACTTACGCAGAAGACAGTCGTCGGTGGTTGTTTGATATTCCCATCCCTCACAGCATTCAACGACTGTTCCATTTACCAGCTTTGACTGCAGCCTGTATCCGGTGGTGTATATAGTGCTACGAAATAAATTTAAAAAAAAAACAAAAAAACTAAAAATGAATCAACCGAGGAGTGTATACAGTTCTTTGGCAGTTTTGAGTGATTTTAAATTGCCTTGTCCAGACCGTGGTTGAAATGCATATTTTATTTATTTTGTCGCGGGAATTGTCGAGTTTATGTCATGTCTATTCATCTAGCGCACTGATTTTTAAATTAAGCGTACAATGTTTGCAAAAACATTTCGGACCGTAAAATTCCCTACGTGATCGTGTTACATCATCTTTAGGAAGACCGAACACCTTCCTTCTTAAAAAGATTTAAGTGATGATTTCGCTCACCGATACTTGGTGCGACATCTTCGTCCTTTCCTGTTGCATCGCTGGTAGGGTTGTCTTTCCCTAACTGCGAATGTTTCATTATATGTCACGGCGGATCTGAAAATGGTAAATGCAATGGAAATAGCTGTTTAAATAAATACATGAGATGGCATCTCTTTCCAAAAGCAAGATTCGATTGTTAACCCCTAAAACAAACAACTTCTTTAACTTCAACTACAAAAGGTTGGTGTGGACCGTTCGAGGTTTTTGAATTGTTCGTTTCTTCGTTTTTGAAAGTATTTATTGAAAAACAACAGCAAAACAAAGGTACATGTAGGCCTAGACTGAATACTGTGTCGAATAATAAAACAACAATTCAATAAAATCTGATCCCGTACAGGCCTCAGACGAAGGATGATGTCAAGCTATTGCTACTTACATCTCCAGGCGTAAACATGCATTGTTGTCAGACAGAGTAAGACCCCGGCAGGGCGTCAAGGGAAAACAGAAGAAAAGGCCGACAACCAATCCCCCGAATAGAGCCATATTTCCTGTGGAGTAGGCCTTGGCCATCGATTTGCAAAATGAAATAACATTCAACGATAAGACCGAGCAGCCGTGACGCGCCAAGATTTGTACACTGACCCGACAAGCATCAAAGTTTTCTTTATTTTGAAGTACGGGACAAGAAATGGGCGCCACTGGGAATAATCCACTCATGTGATTACACAAGAGACGTAAACAAATTGGGACAGATGGTTTGGACACGAAAGAAAAGGGACAAGAGAGAGAGAGAAAAAAATAAAAGAGGAAGAAGGAAAAACCCTCAAAGCTCTCATTGTTGCCCAATGCAGAGGAAAGTCGCAATAAAAGAGCCATTAAGACTTTTGCATGTTTGTAACGCGACATCCTGTATCCTATTCTACGGTAATTTTGAACCGTGACCCTTTCAGGGTGTTGTGTAAATCCTTAGTTAATTACACACACTTTTGGGATAGGTAAAATGGAGAATGTTACCACAGGATTTGTACAAAATTA